TATTTCCCTAATATTTCTCGAAAACTGTGGAAAGTCTTTGAACTTCGGGGATCTTTCCAAAATTTTACCGAATTAGGGAGATTGTGAACATTTTCTATGGGTTTAAAACTAACGTTTTTTGATGAAATGGGGGAGACGAATGTTATTATTAGATTTTTGAGTGGAGCTAACTGATGTGATACCATTTTATAAGTAGGCTTCGTTCAGATTTTTTAATATGAACACCTAACATAAGAACGTTTATTGTAAATAGACGCTGGTGAATGTATACCACAAAGAAAAGCCTGTCTGTGAAACTGCATCATTTACAATGTTTTCATACAGTCAGCACACTGTACACATAACCAACAGCAATCAGTAAACTACGTAAAAACGATTCACCCTTTGAATGTCCACACTATTTGTTGCCAGTAGTGATTAGTTAGAACAACGAACGTTAGCCAATAAATATTGCGACATGCTAATTAACAATAAGTAATTCCATAATTTAAATAACTCGACCAAACTAATTTTGTTCTAGTCATTTTGCAAATAAAAAGTCTCGTGAGTCTATGTGTTTCACCAGTTCAAATAAACGCATTTTGTACAGTCAAATGAAAAAAAAAACATCTAGATTCATCCTATGATTTACTCAAAAAGAGAACAAGCCATGAAGTTATCAGCAATCGTTTGGGATCCTCTGCCGAGAGCTAATAAAACTATTTATGGTTGAATGATTTTGAGTGCATTGAGTAAAAGAAACCTAAAGATGCCACAAATATTTGGAGTTTGACAACACTTTAACCAGTCGCAACTTTTATCATCGAAACATACAAGCCCAGTGAAATGAAAATTTGGAATCGGATAGTCTCCAATTTCCATCAAAATTTCCCCATGTCGGTCGGTCTGAAGCTCGGGAAACAGCAGCGTTTTCCATAATTTCGAGATTCTCCATGCTTATTATGATACCGACACCGATCAGGATTATCTGTGTTTCATGATCTGGAGACAGATCTTCTTCGTGAAGTACTCGTTCAAAGAATTTGAGATTGTCTGCTGTCATGATTAATACGAAGGTAACGTGTCAGTTTATGATGGAGATTGGTAACGTCATTTCGTATCCTTTGAGGTTTTTCTTTCAATGAAAAAAACCTCGTCGCTAGAAGTTCTGGTAGTCCCGAAAATGCAGTTGGTAGATGTAACAAGCCTGTTTTCAGAGTTATTTCGGAACCAGGCAAGCACTACCTGCACCTGTTGAGGAAGCGTACACAAGAAAATTTGTCTTAGCACTCATTCGTAACAGCCTGTCTGTTGCGGATCCATGTTATTGATTGATGTTTTCGAGGAGTTGATCTAACCTTTATTGATCGGTTAGATTTCCGTGTCTAAAAATATATCATTTGAGATTTTCATCAGTTTAAGGAACATAGCTAGTGAACATACTAGATGTGACGTACACGTTGAATTCGCGTGGTAGTGCTTTCACTACGGCAAGGAACTGTGCACGTCGATTGGTCACGCTGTACTCATGGAAGCCGGCTTCTGCATAACAGAACCAGGTCTCATTGTCATAAGTCTATTATGGCATCAGCTGGTGTAAGAGCATTTGTCGTTAGGTACTTTGGAGTTTGTTCAGTGGTGAATAATATAGAGTATGGGAATGGACAACAAGTGGAAGAATTTCCGAAATACGAAAAAATATAACGATATATAAAAATTATTGAGAAGCAACGATATATGAAGTTCCAAAATGTAACAGACTTACGTCGGGCTCAACAAGGAAGATGCCACTAAAGTGTGAAGTTGCCACAAGTATTCGGAATTCGACAACACCTTAACTAGTATATAATCAAAACGTGCCCAATCAGTGAAGTCAGAAGTCAGAAGCGAAGAGATTCGAAGATATATTTAGTGGAATAACGATATATCGAGAACTGATCTAAACTGATTTGTAGTTGCATGAGAAGCTGGGCACAGCGTACTCACTCGTCATCTGGTGAGGATGCATGAACGAACGCTTTCAGCTAGGTGAGTCCATCAAAGCTAATGCGGTAGGCATGAAATGTCGAAGAATACAAACTCATTGAATTTAGCGATTTATTTACCGCTACAAACGCATGGGATGAAAACGTATTGTCACTGGGTAATTTTTATCCCTAAATAATAATTGTTTCCGTAATTTTTAGTGGGCTTTACCACTTCTCTGCAAATCACTGGTCGGCTCTCGTACGATCCATCTTTCTGCAATGTTCTATGCACAAACTCACGAAAAATCTCAAAGCGACTCTAGGCTTTTATGTTTAAAATAAGCTGCGTTCAACCGAATAACACTGAAACCGAAAATTGTATGCTCTTAGTTAATAATTTTAGTCCAGTACGTTTCTGTATATAATGCTCAGTGAACAGGATTGACAAAGTGTGTTGTGTCATGAATATGCAAATTCCTCCATTTTTTTTCTTCGATATCTAAATTACAGGATTCTGTAACAATTTTAAGGCTCTATTTCATCACTTCTTGTTGTCAAAGTGAAATATTTTCATTTTTGTGTCATTAATGATTACCACTTGCTGAGTTCATTGCCAAAGATATAGAGTTTTCTTTTTGTGTTGTTAATCGCAATTTCCTAAGTTCTTTGGTTTTGGGTCTGACCGATAAGGTTCTTCTGGAATGCGAGCATTATATTATATATTTTTATCGTATTCACCCACTGGTTATGTTAAGGTATTACATTCTGTATTTTTACAGACTCACTGTTGATTAATTTATATACTAATTTATACAATTCCCCATTTGTTACAAAAGTTGATTACAAGCTTCATTCTTCCTTACGACATTGGCCTTGCAACGAGCAATCAACCAAAATAAAACATGAACTATTAATCACAATATCGTGACCCATGATGGAGGACATGTATCGTTTTTTGTCATTTTTGTAGGCTTATATGAGAAATGTAAATTTTCCGGTGATGAAAACACGACTCTATGATGCGACGAATGTGTGAAGTGAGGCGCTCTGCAATTACAGCAAAATATTGCAATATAGCAAACGGCATACTTGTGATCAAACAGTAGATGGTTAACGTAGGCTATCTGCTTCGATGACGTGGAAGTTTGCTAGATGTGTACGGGAATAGCATGACCTCACGGATTTCGCTGGTATCACATCTCGTGGTCAATATCCGACTTGGACAAACCTTATGTTGTGTCAAGTCACTGTGGTGACACATCGGCATCAGATCACCAGTGGGCACTCCGTACTACGCATCCCATGCAACAGCTAGCCAGTTTATACCAAACGCTTCTTCTTTTATTGATAGCATTTCAAATATAGCTTGCATCCCGTTCATTTCTGGTTTGACTCGGTTAGTATACTGCGATTATAAAGGTGTTACGTGTACAGGTGTTGTAAAACTCTGTTTCGCACCAGGTATCAGGATAAGCAAACATTGTTCTGATACATAAGCCACTGAACCAACAATTAGCTGTGCTTGAGGATGGCGTTTCATGGTTATGGATTCTAAATGTTTGACATACAAAGATAAACAATCTGGCATTATTGATCCCACTCAAACAACACGATCAATCGGTGTCCTTTTGTCTCGTGTTACATTAGGATTAAGTGTTGCGACTTCAGACAACCATCACTTAAGTGACGTGATTATGAGTACAGAATATGAGTAATCTTGATAACAAACACCTACACTCACATAGGTGCCAGGCTAATTTTTACTGTGGCCTTGTCAAGGGCAAGTTCGACCTTGAAAATACTCGTGTGGTAAGATGAGTTGTGATGTGCCATTCGCAGAATTTTCGGTTTTATGAAAAGTAACTTTACTGGTTTAGCGTGTAAAATTGGCAAATATGTACCACTACAATACAACCTTATATGCTTATTTGCATGAAAGTGCCTAGCAGCTAAAGATATATTTCAAGCGTTGTCTGTGCAAAGTAATAATATTTTTGACCCTTCAGTGTATGTAGAATAGTGGAAACCCATCATTACCCGAGGGCGTCCAAATAGAAACTTTTTTACCTCATTCGCGTCTGTATTAAACGGCGTTTACTGATCTCGATGCTTTGTTCAAAAGAAAAGTTTCTGATATTGTTCTTCAAAACGTATTGGAAATTCTATGCTAATGTCTGTTGGCATTTAGTGACTGTATAATTCATATGACATGACTCAGATGAAATCAGTGATTACGGTTCTGTAGCTTAGTGTACCTGTAGATTTAATAATGTATACTTTGCTTGTGACCTCATGTCGATATTCCTGTATTTGTGTCGTGTAAAGCATTCACCCTTTATCTTTATCAGTAATCTTTTCTCGTCTTGTGTCGGATCTCAGCGCTTCATATTGACCGAATTGTTTGTTTCCTAAGTAATCAAGATATGAACCAACACTTCGTACAGGAAATTGCAGTGTGTGTACCACCAAAATATATCCTAATTGGCCAGAAGGTATTTAGTACAGCACTAATAAATTATAGAACTCAGGCATATATTCACAGCACATTACAGTGTGTATGGCTAGAGGTGTTAATATCAAACTCTTTCAATCTCTTACTCTTGTTCTTTATGTAACTAACATTGAACCGAATGAAGCAATCGAATTAACTTTCAAGTAGTCAACAAAAAGTACTTAAAGTGCCTTTCTCCAAATCATTCAGTAAATAACTCTGTATGTCTTAAACTTTCAAGCGATAAAGCTGCATCCTTTGGTGTAACTAGTAGCCAACATTTTTAAAAGGCTACAGTTTGGTGAATTCCTTGCTAATCCCAAACATTTTACACCTGCGTAATGGTGTTGATGTTTATGGTGATCTTTATGTTATTAAGACGTTAATATTCAACAATCTTTAACTCTATTTTCATTGACCTGTGTCTATTTCATTTATGCCTTTTCATATAAAACTTAGTATAGATTTTTTTATTTGGTCAAATCAAATGTTGACTCGGATTTCAGATAAATCCCAAATAGCTGGTTGTATAGATTTTGTAAACTTTGGCTGACTTCAAATAAATGAAGAAAAATCCCGCTAAAAAACAAAATCGGACATATGTGAAAAAGCCACCTCGCAGGATTACTATATCCGTAAGTCATAATCGCTTTTTTTACTCGTTAGCGTTCCAAATCCCTCAAAAGTGATTTAGAACGTTATGAGAAAGTGGGTGGGGTTTTTGATAAACGTTTGGGTAATCGTAATGTCACTCTAACTGAGTCCGAAAAGTCTTTGCAAAGACACATCGTCGAAAAATTGGTACATGCATTAGATATGTTAATATAAATTATAGAGACAACTTGATAGTGTCTCGTTAGAAAGTATTGATGATAAAGATCCTTTATTCAAAGCGGCATTTGACTCAAGTTTTCCAGCGCGAAAATTATGCACGGCTGATGATGTGGAAGGCGGGATTGAAGGTGAAATAAAGATTAAACCACTACGTTTGTAGGTCATATTGTGGAAAACATCTTCTTCACCAATGGTTCTACCGGTAATAAACTGGGACGTAGTTTCAAGGACTCTCTGGAGGAAAAAATTGCAGCTACAAAATTGGAAAAGCTAAGACGTGTCGAAGAAAATGAAGAACAACGTGAGCGATTAAAGGTCGTCAATGACGAATGGACAAAAAACATTCGTTTCCTCTTAAACAGAATCCACGGCATGAAGAAAGTGAGTTATGTTATTAATAAACGTCATTTTCAGCGTCCGACTACAGCAACTCAGCAGAACAATAATACGAATGTTTCCCGTTTACTAGAAACATTGAGTACCGATAAAAAAGTGGTGCCCATCGGCTCCTCAAATACACACAACCCACAAGAACAGCTCTTTAGGCTTCAGGATATGGTGAGCGCCCGCAGGCCTTCGTAAGTTCTTACTTTACTTCTGTAACAATATATCGTAACATTCTACCTCTCGATTACTATTTTGTACTAACTTACAAGAACACTACCGGATAAAATAATATTAAACACTATACAACTATGTGTTAACTCGATTTTTTGACACTTCACATTAACACTGGACAAGCAAGTCGACATTACGAATGATAAAGATTATTAACAATAACATAAGCCGTAGTGTATCGTCAAAATCAGATTTTTAACTAGTTTGAAATTGATGTCATATCTAACCCGTACCATGGACTGAATCTCACTGATCACATTGTAGCGGTCACTAGTCTAGGTGATTAGATATCACAGAATAGTATGTTTGGTCCCAAATTATTGAGGGTATGGATTCTTGCTCTAGTTGATAAGCATTGTAAATTTCCAATAGTATGAAGTATTGTAACCAGTGGTTAGAAATTAGGTAACTTCGATAAAAATCAATTCCAATGGTCTAGTTTTGCTATGTTTGAAGAGAATACGAGTTCACCTAATCTGAGAACGGAACGAAGACTCTGTGACACAACGACGCGTCCCAGCCCAGCTAATTAGAGAGAGAAGTTCAAGTTCGAAAGAGGGAAATATATTCCACAAGCAGCCGGAAGCACGAACAACCACGAGTCTATTCGGAAATACACTCATTTATATATTGATTCATATACCTATTTTTGATGAATAATTGGAATAAAATCACATATATGAAAAATACCTAGTTATAATAAATCATACGCTTAGTACTGTTTATGTTAATTTAATACAAGAATATCGTATGTTATACGGGATAAAATGTCATACGGGAAAACAAAGCCGAATCATCGTCACATCGAATCGAAACGGAATTAATGTTGGACGAAAAATCATAATGAGTAAATCAATCTAATTTTGACTTCAAACAACGATTCCTTACCTTTCTCATACCCCTGAACATTTTGCTATCACATACATATCCCATATATTTCAATCGACAATTTAACCCCTTTATAATTTTAATGTTTTTGAGGTTTGGAGGCAGTTAACAGAGAGTATTGAGGCTATATTTTGTTTTTCTTACCACAAATCAGTAATCACGAGGGAACTGTGTTCGAATCCCACGCCTTACACGTAATGTGTTAAAGTTTGGCGATAATGATTTGTATCAAGTGGGTCATTCCAACTGGGTTTCATCAAAGTAATTTGGTTTGCGAATATTTTTTACAGTTACTTCCGTCAAGTTTGACCTTCTTATACCGTTTGAGATCAAACGGCAGTGATTTCGTTGGTTGATACTGTTTTGTGGTCAGATCAACATACTATCGCCGTATTCTTTTTATAAATAAGGCTCCACGGTCACACAATCATTCTATAGTCGTTTTACTAGGGTTTGTATCACCACAGTTTCTGAGTAATTGACTATTTCTCAGGCATTCTTCATTCAGCTTGTGGTGATCTGTCAGAATACAACCGAAAGATTGCTCATTCAAATCAATGATGAAACCAAATAGTTTAATGAAAACTAGCAAAACCACCTGAGTTAAAACAGTACCTGGAGTCATTTGAGTATGTGATAAAATTTAAAATTTCAGAAGAATTTTAGCAGTTGTTCAAATAGCTCATATAAAATAAAGAACATTGTGTTGCATAACATTTCCAATTAAACTCATTCTACTCGTTTTCTATTGTCCCTTTCTTAGATATGACCAAAATTATTATCGAAATCTATCGGTCCTGTTGTTCTCCACAAAATAGTTTAGGCAATAGCACCTGCCATATACGGCTAAAAAGTGATCCGAAAGCTGCTCAGGCACTTTTGAGCAAACGCATTTTGATGTTTTGAACTTTGATGTTTTATCGAATACCTACAAACCTAATTATTCGTAATCCTAAGAGATTAGACTTATCAAATGAATTTGGCCTGATATGAATTTATTTGTTACCTAGAATTTCAAGTCCATTTCTGTAATTAGTAACATACTTAACATAATGTGAAAGCATTTCATATAAAGTTGTTTCAATTGCCTAATATGTTCACAATTAATTATGTTCTTGATGTATGAATTATAGTCTCGCCGAATTTATTTTAATTTCTACTACATTTTGCGAGTAGCTTTAATCGTTTTTAACAGTGTTGAACAGTATTTTGATAAAACCTATATCTGACTGTAGTTTGTCCACCGAATGGTAAGTCATTCATAACTTTCCCATTTGTACTTACAAAAGATTTACTGGGAATTGGTTAGAGGAAACCTAAAATCAAACGATAACTTTATAATCTTAATAATCAATTGTTTATGCTTATTCACTTCTTCCCTCTATTTTTGTAAATTGGTGCTTATAGGATTGAAGCGAGCGACCACGTCATTGAGTCAGAAACATTGGTAAGTGTATAGAATAAAAACTATGTGCATTTCAAGTTTAACAATGGAAGTTATCAAAATAAAATTGACTCTTGATTCATTATTTCTTATATATCTGACTTCTGCGATAAGGTTAATCGATTGCCTCTGCCAAATATTTCTGGTTGCACTATTTTAGGTTTCCTATCTTCGTATTTTACTCAGACTACCGAAAGAAAAGTCCACTGCTATTATCTTCATTTCTCACCAACTTTGGACAGCTAGATTGCATCGTTTAAAAGACGTTGTTCGCTATCTTTTCTTAATACAGTTGGCGTTTGAATATTGCTCTGAGATATTTGAACGTTTAGAGAATGATGGAAAATTGTCTACAAATATTATTGAATGTGGTATTTTTTGTCCGGAAATTGTACATGCACTATCCCGATTGTTTCGCCTTACTTCACTTGGTTCGAATCTACAGAAACACATTTTAGTTTTAAGAAAACCATTGACTACTATTGAAGTGTAAGTACGTACTATATTAGTGATGTATAATTATTTTCCATTCAAACCGTTATTAAAACAATTTAATCCATATAAAATCTATTTTGAGTATTGTGTAGCATTTGGGGATCCCAAGTGAACCATTTTCGAACAAATTTCCATGTAATATGTATCAGTGTTTAATCTACATATTTATTCACTTTTCCTTGTAAAAAAGTTCAGAAATTAAATTTATCAAAACTGTAGTATGGTTACTTGATAATGAGCTGTTAATTCGAAACAGTCCTTTTTGTGCATAAGCAATTACCTTGTTTAGAAGAAAAAATCAAACCATCGAATATAACCTTTAAAAAATAGCTCTCACATCCCCATTTGTTAGCATAATTTATAAAATTGTCATCCGAAAATGTAATCTCATATATCCCTAATATATATCTGCTTTTTTGCATAAAATCAAAGGGCTGTTTTTCTTCCTGAACAACCACCAATATGTCAGTAGACACCATATGTCAGCTATATTTAAAGTAATTTAGGCGCATATGGCGTACATAAGATTTCATACACAACTGACATTTTCAACCATGGCCTCATCTGTTCCAGTGCAGCTTTATAGTACTTTTCTGAGGAGTCAATTAATGAAAATTTTATCAGTCTCGCTTTACAAGTTTGAGTAGAATCTTTGTACATGTACAGAAACAACAGGTGTTATGTCAAAATTGACTGTTTTTAAGCACAAGTCTAATGTCAGAAGATTGCATTGTGGGTAATTATTGATAAATGTATCATATGTTATTGCGTTCGTACTGTCATCAGCTTGTTTCCTTTAAGATCGTTCATTTTGAATAGAAATGTCAGACCTTTCAAATATGTTGTCTTCTTAGTTAAGATACATCTTTTTCCGTTTTAGATCCGATTTGCCGAGTCTCGACATTCGCCTTGTAAATAGATCTTCCCCCTTATCTCTCAACGAAATCCCTGTACTTCGTTTAACTTGCGTTTACAGGATGATTCGTCTAGCTAACCAAGTTTTCCTACTATATAACAAATTCTTACCTAAATGCGTTCTAGTGAACTTGTTTCGTCCTTTGAAAACGTCTCTGGTAGAAAGTAACTTCCTTTATCACCCCACGTTTATAGTAAATGATATCAAAAGTCTCTTCGAATCAATCAAATCAGCAGAAAATGCTCCTACACCTGCTCGATTAATATCAGATCGTCGTCTTTTAGTTTTGAATACCTTGAAACCAACAGATTCCAAAGAATTTAAAAAGTTAGGCATTCTGCCTCAACTAGAGCCTGTTTTCGATGAACGGTAAATTTTATTTCATCTGCTTACACATATTTTTAGTGAAAGATAATTCTAATTTTTGTTTTGTAATTGTCCTGATTATATGTTTACCTACAGGGGATTTTGTGTATTATAAAAATTACTTGGTGTTACGAACATAGAACAATAATGCGATACTACATCACGTTTTGTCAGATGCTTTGTTACCTTTTTGAACACTTGGTCGGCTTATTATTTCAAAGTATTGTATTCAATATATTCGATCACAAAGGTCACTTGCCAAAGATTACTCATATTCTAAATGTTTAAATCAGTCTATTAGAAAACAGGTAACAAGTCATTCATTAGCCTGATTCCAGACAGATATATCGTTATTAGTTATCAAGAGTTATTCTACGCTAGTTTCTCTGAAATTTAGTCAGCTACAACGTAGGCCCAGGCACATATATCCATCGGTCCAAGTTGCCAATTCTCTGAAAGACTTTGAGTTTCTAAATATATTAACTTGTAAGTATGGCGAAACTTTTTCAGGATCAGACATTTGAAGTACAACTGATGTTCTGTTTAAACTCTGGAACATCCGATTCTAGAATTTACTTTATATATGATTTTAAAGCTTCTAATGTTTTTTTTCAATAGACGGTTACAAACTAGTTTATGTGGTGTGTTCACTGGAAAATTGGTCTTTGAAATTTTTTGTAATCCAGAAGTATTGATTCAGGGCATAACTGTAATCAGTAACTATTCTTTTTTCTCTCTCTCTCTCTCTCTCTACAATAAATTTATGCAGTTCATTTATGACAGTTGTTTAACCGCATGATACAAATTCATTGAAGTTTTAGATGGATTTGAGCGAACTTCCCTATAAATCCAAAGTGCAATTAAAAAACTTCATGTTTAATTTATTCGCAAATGCAGAACTAATAGACAGTATTTATTGAGCACTTGTCGATTTCCTCTTTTCCTAACCTCTGATTTTAGGTGTTGCAACTTGAACTGATACACATTCCTTGCATGTCTTACGTTGATGATGACTGACTGTGGTGTATTAGGAGTAATATAAAATCCATTTCACAGTTCACATTGGTCAGTCATCAATAATAAACGCGTAAACCACTTTGTAATTCTATAGTAACACGTTCTATAATTCCAATAAACTGCAAATATGAATCTAAAGTTTGTGAGTATCTCGCTTCAGAAGCACTCAACGTTATATTTCTAATCATGATCAAATAACCTAAAACCGAATGTAAATAAAATTTAAAAATAAGAAAATCTTTTGCGATTAAATTAATGATCAGTGTTTTATTCTCCACGAGGTAAATAAGTTATCTAACAAATCCGAACTTCCACAAACAATCGAAATTACACACTTGCCAATATCAAGGGCATGCCCCCAAATGCCCTGGTACGGCCGAGAGTGGGGAGAGTCCGCTCTCCCTCTCGAAATGCTCTCACATGGCCATGCGTATATAGCCTCTGCCAGGGAAGTCCTACTCACTGCCTTCTCGTGGCGGAGGTGTTGTTTACGAAGTTGAGAGGACGAAAAACGAATGTTCGGCGCTTTAACCGGGTTAGTGGACACGGAGAGTCCACCTATGGGAGTTGGAAAACCTTGATCCCAAACCAATGGTGCACATGGGCTCCATTATCCTGAGTGAAAAAATGGTGTGTGAACCAATCTTTGGTCACAGGCTGCCATGGAACTGCATCTCCATACGATGCTCCACTGCCTTGTGGATCAGACCTTCATGTCGAAGGCTCCGAGCGTGGCCCCCTAAAGAAACCACCTGCCTCGGTTTGGGCACCCGGGCAGTATCATAGCCCTCACACAAATCTAATGTAATTTGTGTGGCGCATATGCATTTGGTGCCTCCTTGTACCAATATCTATGTGTTAAAATAAATAAATAATCAAGGGCATATTCTACTATAGACGACTAAATTGCTATGATTTCGAATGATTACAAAGTTCAGGTAGCTATGTTAAAGTTGTAGCTTAACCAATCGTTTCTCGAGAATTCATCCAATCTGCCTGTTTTATAACTGGATCCCAAAAAAGAATTGATGTGTAGAGGTTTAGCGGCGCATATATTTTTGTCAAAGTTTAACAAAAGAATGATTTAGAGGAATGACCATAATTTGAACTTGGTGAATAGTTAAATAAAAGAAAAATTTAGTTAAACACTTTCTAAGCATTCATCAAATGAATAAGGTCCAAGAATGGATACACAAATGTCAAATTAATCGTTCATAATTTTCAAAGCACTCAAAAATGTACTTTCCGATTGTTTCGAACATAACATATACCATAAGCAAGAAACCAAAGCGCGATAGATATATATAGTTTGAAACCTATTAAGAATATTCATACGTCCAAATTATGACATTTTACATAAGAACAGTGACGAAAAATCCATAAAGAAAATATAAAGGAGTAAGGATAATGACACAGAAATAACGAAACACTAAAGCCGAAAAGTAGTGTGCTTTAAGCTAGTGATGATATTGATCTTTAATTGCAGCTTTTAGTGGGTATTAATAGGTCAGTAAAAGTCAGCTAAAATGCTTTTTATGTAACTAACCCTGTTAGTTCTTGTATTATCTCTCAGCAGCTCTTATTATCATGACATTTTCAAAGTATTTTATCAATCATAGCATGTCGATGGAAAGGTGGTTATTTTTTTCGCTTTATTTATTCTGAAATTTTTATTTCCAGATTGTGTGTAAATCAGCGTGATAATACTAAACGGACTTTACAGCGAAAAATTGCAAAGGAAAAACGTTGTGCAATGCGGGCTATTCGTCAAGATTGTCAATTTTTAGCTTCACATCAGTTGAATATTATTAAAAAGAGGTAATTCTTATTTTCTGCATTATGGAATTGTCTATTCCATCGAGTGTCGTCTTTCAAAGGGTGCATAATTTAATCAATTTGTTTTCGTGCTATTAATTTATATTATTTTTATTAGATTGAATATTCCTTAACTTCTCATCATCACTCTAAACTAATACTAAGGTTTCACAATTGTGAAAACCAATCAATATATGCCAAAGGATTTTGAGTTATTGTCCCTGTTATCGTAATGTTAGTCGGGTTTTTTTCTCACATAAAAATATGGTATCAGAATGTTCTCACTGTACTGAGCTGAAATTGACCTATTATTGTTACATCACGTTGTTTTGATAGGCTTCATCTCATTAAACTATCCAAATCTGTCTAGAGCACTAACTGTCTTAAATTATGATTTACTTAAGGAATGCTAGTTAAAGACCATCCCATAGAGATGTGTGGATTTTCATAGATGATATCGTTCAAAACTTCGGCCAGTTCTCATGTTCAATAGTTTTTACCAAGTTCAAAAAGGTTGTAATCATATTATCACTTGTATTGCACCTACTAAACATTTATGAGAGGTAAATAGAGCTTTTCATTTTTTTGTAAACTAAGTATATGTTCAGTTTGAAGTCAATAGCTTATTCGATGAAGTTAACTCCTTTTTATAATAACCCTGTCAATATATTTTCAGGGTTTCAACTGAACTTTGGATTAGTGATCTAATTGTCTAAAATATAAGATCGATCTGTATTAGTTTAAAAAGTTAATGCACGAGGTTTTCTTGTGCGCAGAAGTGTCTGAGAGGCCGTAAAACTTACAACTACATGTATGTAAGTATCGTGTCTTAGGTTGATTATGAAGTCAACAGTTTGAAAACAGTGTCATGTTTTCTACAGTATTATTGTCTTACAGTCTCAAATTACGGTAAAAATATCTTACGAATAACACTTATTTCACGAAATTCTTGTGTTTTCATAAGATTTTGAGATTTTTAACTCAGGTTACAAGATGTAACACCTAGCTTTCTATACTTTCTGTTGGTTCTTTTCTTCGGTTCCTTACATTCCATTTTTACATTTATCGGTTTACTGTATATGTGAGGATACGAGTCATCGTAATCTGAACGACAAAAGGTGGTGTTGTATCATTTGTTGTCGCCATCCCATGCTCTGTTATGATGCTATTGTGCTTCAAGTATACGTAGGAATTATATATTTGTAATTATTTACTGTTTTTATTGTAGCGACTATATTCGGGAAAAGAAAACAAAAGCCATCTTAAATTCGATGCGTTCAGTTGAAGATTGATACTGAAATCCTATGGTACCTGCAAATAATAATAATATAATACGACTAACTTTCCATTTTTTGATATCTTTTAACTTGAGATATTGATGTTTTTGAAACAGAAATATATGTTCATTGAAAATAAAGCATGAAGCGAATAACATAATGCAAATACACAAAAGGCTTTGAAACTTCTAAGCGGTGTTTTAACATACGATTTGATTCGCTTTAGGAAGAGACGTCGTCGAAACGCTACATTTTCACCTTTTCTTCATAATTATGTGAAGGGAAATTGGATATGCACATAAATTTGTTAGTTTTCTGTTCTCATAGCCTAGGTAAGTTAACTTTCGTGTTTCCGTTTGGCCTTATAACGAATAAGTGTAGGAATGAATTTCTAGTAAAAGAAAGTAAACTACAAAACTGTTAACACTATAGCTTGTCGACTGATCAAAGATGAGCATCTAAATATCCCTTGTAACACATGTTCCAAAGTAGCTCTTTTATATTCAAGTCATGTAGTATAAATACAGTTGCAATATATTTTGATTCCATTTTGAGCCAGTTTGAACTTAACCTCGGCTTGTAATAATAATTTCGTTTATTGTCCAAGTTATGTTATAACTTGAATTACTTAAATCGGGCTGCGTATTGCAAAGTTGTCAAACTGACGCTGGATACATCCCTCAATTAAAGTCTAGTATAAAAATAAGAACATTTCTAACGACATACGATCTACGTAGCTATATGTTAGTCTTAAAAACATAAAAGGTTAATGTCTAAGTTGCTTTCAGTGAGAAACGTGAGCCTTGTAACAGCAATGAAACTTAAAAATGAGATTAATGAGTGGATTTCCTAGTTGTCAATTATTTTCTGTTTGCTTATCACTTTTGGGGTCTGATATCGATAAGGCATAAACACTATTCATTTAGGTAATGTAGAGAAGTAGTGTTAATAAAAGCTTTCTCGGAAATCGTTCCATCCCTAAGCATTCACTGTAATCTGGGTGTATCTCCTTTAAAGTATCTACATGTATTTAAAATGCGGTGTCCACTGTGCATTAAATATACGAGTGAATATGCCTTTTTACCGATGTGTTATTGTAATAGTGGTGAAAGAGGAGTATTTTTTCATGTTTAAGATTAAAATTTCAGCACATAATGTGACAACATAACTGAGTTATCGTCACTACTCTTAAACACTTCACAGTCTTCGTATCTTCATTGTGGTGAAACTAAACTTCTCCCCAATCGTAATTTTAAGATGTAGTCAACATAATCTGCACCCTATGTCGGTAAGTCAAAAAAACCACCTGGGTATTTTCAGCTCTGTTTAGTCTACGTACTTGAGTGTTAAAATAACGCGTCACGATTGTCACGTTTGACCATCTCGTCCAAAACTTTTTACTTTGTCGGGGCTGCATATACATGTGTTAAACTCAAGTCGGTTTTTTTTTACACATTAAACAAATAGATTTATATTTACCTTTAGGAATTCACTGTATCGGTGTTTTGCTACGTGAAGTTGTCTTTAATTCACATTAGTGATTATTCTCATTAATAACACTTTTATTATATCATCCAGTTTTTGCAGAAATTAAAAAAACTAAAATATTAACAAAAGCTGAATGTTTGGTTTGGTTTTCACTACCAGCATAAGATTTTTAAAATATCACTGGGATACATCTCAACAATTTTGTATGTAGTACATATGAAAGTTGAGTAAATTTGTACAGATAAGTCAACATAATAATTCATGACTATAATTATAATTATTATTATCACTGTTGCTATTGCCATCAATTACTTATCAATAAAATAACAAATGTGTGAAAAAATAAGTGTGAATAAGATTATTGAACTAACTCTCTTACTGTTAAAAATAATCGTCAAAATACACCCAGGTAGAAGCAAACTATAGAAAAGAAAATCAAAGTAAAATTTACGCAAAATAAAGTTAGAAGAGTAGAGCGAATTATTTTTTATCTTATTCTCAAATATCCGTTCAAAGAAAAACTTCTGGATATCAATTTTGGAGGACGTATCAACTTATTCGAAAATTGCAGTAGTGTATACCTAATTTCACCTAGTTGTGAGTTTTACACTATCGTTCTTTATGTTCAGATTGTCTTATGTTATCGGGACATAATGTGTTCTTTCTTATGAGTATTCTTTCACCTACATCTTGAAGTGATTCCGTCGTGACTGTCATTGTTATTTTATTTTCTGGGTTAATTTCAGAGTTAGTGTACATTTGACTTGCAGATTTACTAACTGATGTAATAGATCTCGGTTCACTTGTAGCTAAAGGCGTACTTGTGATAGAACATGGGGCTGTAGCCTTCGTAAAATCACATGAATTATAAACAGCTGCGTGAACAGAACTATTTTCAACTTGATGCACACACCCTTCACCATTTAACTTACTAACACGTGCGGTCTTTGAAACACCACTTTGAACTTTCCCAAAGGGTTTTAAACTTACAGATGTCTTATCTGTAATTGTCGTGGTTGTGTTGGATGCAGTATTAATAGTTGTAGAAATATTAGGTGGTAATTGTGTAGTATGGGTGGCTCTGTTCATTGTGTTAGGGTTCGATACACTTGAAGACATGTTCTTGAATCCAGGGGGTTTCGGCAGTTTCCTGCGAAGCCATTCATGTTTAAAAGCCTCTCGTGGAGTCATGCGCTCTTCTGGTGTCCATCGTAAACACTTTTTAATAAAATCAAGGAAAACTGTATCTTCACAACCTTTAAGGGCCGTGACTAATGACCGACTTCCAGGAGTACCTCTAATTTTACCCCTTTTGGTACTACTACTGCGAAGTACGACACAGCCATTTGCATCCATAGCCATGCAGTATCTTGGGTATCCATAAGTCGTTGAGAAAAAATTTCTCACTCTTCGGCATTGATCCAGTAGCTTTTGGGGCGGCATCCCAAGCAATTCTATTATACAAGCAAGTTGGTCTCCTTCATCTTCTCCTGGAAATATAGGAGCACCTAATGATGGGAATAAGAATAAAAAATTTTCACATTCGTTTAGGGAGTTTCACACACTTTTTCTTATTTATAGAATTCACTCGTGCAAGAACAATCAGTGTAATAGAATAACATGAATCCACTATATTTTGCGGTTTCTTGTCAGCTAGCTGCCCACCACCTAAATATAATAGTATTATCCTTTAAAAACCAATGTACATACTTTGTCAAAACATCGGAAAAGTTTTTATCAGTGAATATTAATGAACACAGAATTATTTATGAAACAATGATAAGAGATTTTCATATGTTAATTATTGTGGATATTTTTAGGTTGAATATAAGAACATCTAGAATAAACAACTAGGGAGATAGGAACAATTATGTAGGAATAATATATTAATGTTATAATTATGTAACTTCTAGAGAAATTAACTAACTAAATACATGTCAGATAAAGAAAGAGAACTAATAACTAGTGTCATAAAAAGAAGAATTGGATAACAAACATTTGTTAAGTTCACCAAAGCAAGATTGACAACTGAATCTTTCTGAGTATATAAATTTAGTTTAAATCTTTTTATCGTAATTGCTTCGGTTAACCGTAATCAGTCTGACTTCCTTTGTTTCTTAATCATCTTGAAACATTTTGCCACATCAACACCATGGCCACTGTTAATCTGATGGTGTGCGATCGCAGTGCTGGAAACATATTCCTTTCAGTCTAAGCTTCTATGGGATGTGCTCAGCGATGCGGACACTAACCCTCTTTCTGTTCTTCCGATGTATATTTGGCATATACATGTAAAGTTTTGAATATAATTAGGTGGGAATTTGTCCTCACACGACTGTCTTAATGAGCAATTAGTGTGATGAGCTTGGCAGCTGGATAAGTCCTTTTTGTTATGGCTTTATTCTGAAACCAGTCTTTACAGCTACTTCATCACCATTGAAGCCAAGTCTTAGGAATGCAAGCTTCTCAACTACAGCATACTCTATTTCCTTTGTTTTAATCTTCCATACTTGTTTATGAATTTCTGAGGGTAATATTATCACATAAACAACGTTCAACTACGGTTAGTTCTTCATCAACATAATCTTCTGATACGATTAAAGAGCGTTCTAACCAAAAGTTTTGTAGTTTAGTGGACAAAAGCTATTGAAGTTTAAATATAATCCACTCCATATGTCCTTTCGAAATATATATATATCGTAATACAAATGGTCGATTAGGAAGATATGTAAGTATATACACTGGTTTTTAAAGAATAATACTATTATATTTAGGTGGTGGGCAGCTGACGAGAAACTGCGAAATATAGTGGACTCATATTATTCTGCTACATTGATTGTTCTTGCTTTAGTCAAATTTAAGGAGTTTTTTATCAAGTTTACAAAAATAAATAAACATAACAAAGTAAGCAAATAACGTTTTAGTAGTGAAAACATTCAGATTTTATATATTTAAAGCCATAGTTTTATGTCACTATATTGAGTTAAAGTCAGTTATATCACAGGAAGCCGTGTTCATTTTAGAGTACTCCATTTTCTACTTTTTTGATCATACAACTGAAAGTTAGGGTACTTTTAGAAGTACTAAAAAGTTTACACTAACTGTTCATCATATATGTATTGATGTTTTCTATTCCGACTCCGAGCTCACTAAAGTGTTTCCAACTATTATTACTTTTGGTATCTTGTCTTGACAGTACTTGTAGCAATCATGAACATTCAACTTGACTTCTGGAAAATTTGTTTGCATGAGTTGAAATTAATTGCGCAGTCATTGGTGTTCCGCCTTTGAATTCGTTTAAAGTAATTTTATAGGAGCTCTACCCACCCAAAGAAAGCCTATGAAAAAATACTGAACATCCGTTAACATTTTTACTGAAGTCCCCAGGTTAATGTACCGAATAGACCTTTAAAAACATCGTATTGATCTCGACAAGAGTACAAGTATTAAACCAAGATCATAATAATCATGTTTTACCTGTTAGTAACTCCGCTAATATACATCCAAAACTCCACATATCAATCGGTAGACCATACTTACACCCGAGAATCACTTCCGGAGCTCTGTAAAATCTTGATTGTATATAAGTGTATAGACGCTGACTTTCATAACAACTTGAACCGAAATCAATTATCTTAATCCCACTCCTACCTTGTTGTTTAAGCAAGATGTTTTCTGGTTTTAAATCACAGTGAATGATTTTATTTCTGTGCAGCATATCCAGACATACTAAAATTGAATGAGCGAATTTTCTTACTAACTGAAGAGGAAATCCTTGAAATTTACCTCGTTTGATAAGTTCATATAGATTTATGCTTAGCAGTTCAAATGTTATACAAACATGACCACGAAAAGTAAAGTGTTCGGAAATATGCACGACATTACGCGTATTGTCTACATCCTGCTTTTTCAGTTGTTCAAGAATTCGGATTTCTTCAGTCGCTTGATTTGTGAAACGCTTTTCATTTCTCACCATTTTTAGTGCAACATAAACACCATCTTTATGATCGTAAGCCTTAACAACCTGTCCAAAACTACCTCTCCCGAGTATTTTTAAAATCTCATAACGATAGGCAACATGATCGTGTGCAGTATGTATGTAGGATCCCTGATCATCGTCATAACCACAATTATTTCCTGTACCTAAAATTCCGTTTCTTTTCTTTGCATTATGTCCAACAAAATATACATAAGGATAGTTCAATATTTCATGGTGTTCGTACGCGCTAAGTTTATGAAAATACAACTTCATTGCCATTTCCGGAGTGAGGCATGTTTTTATTGTTTTATTTGATGACGGCTTTACACACGAAGTACTAATCGACTCATTTAATGAAATCGGAAGGTTAGGTGGTTCGTTTACGCAGCTTTTGGGTATTGGATTTACCGGAAATTGATTAAGATCCACACCTCCATATGCTACAGCCCGGTTTCGAGTTTTTGGGGATTTGATCTGAGTTTCAAGTTTTGAGCAATTATATGTCGATGGACTGATGTTTCCTTTGGTCCTTGATCTGCTTGATCGGTTCCCAAGTTTATTAATTTGTGGTTTGTTCCGTCTTAATGAAAAATTACTCGCTAAGTTTTCGCTTTGAAGTTTGTTCTGTTTATCTTCATGCAGTTGAGCAATATTTAGCAGTGAATTCACATTGCGGTTGTTGCTTTCTATTCCAAATGAACTGTTAGATGCCAGGAGACTGCATAGACTTTCGTCTTTCATTGTTTCTCCATTCATTTCCATTAGACGTAGAAAGTGAGGGTGACCAAAATCTGTATCAATGCTATACATAGGAATACGTTGTGAACACTAATGAGGTCATTTAGTTGACATTCCAATGGTCAATAAACGTTTGGGAAAATTCGATTAAATATAACTTTTCATCGTATAAAAATATTTGGCATCTATAACAGAAAAGAATATTAGTGAGGATATCGTCATTTCTATTATTTCAAACAAAAGCTAGAGAAAAAGTATTTCTATTAAACGTAGAAAAACGTTATGTAAATAGAACTTGGACGCCGGATCCAACCACCAACGCCGGGCAGCACGTGAGTTGTAACAAATTTTTCACAATTTTGTTTAACTTTAAAAACTCGTTGTGGGTAATATACAAGCGAACAACTGTTGTAGTTAGAAGAGTTATGAATGGCTGTCACTAAAGATTTATTGTAAGGAAGTATCCATATAAGTTATCAATGTGGAGGTAAATTTTTAAGACTGGTTTTATTTTTTTTAGCTCTAATTTTCAAAACTATCCAACTTTGATACTATAGTAAAGTAGAATCTAGGTTTTTAGGTAAGACAAAAAAGAATAGGCTACACTAAAACTATTTCGACAAATAATAATGTTTTATTTTCTTTCGTACTTAACGAGAGAACTATAATGAAAAGTTGAATATTTGTCTTTGTGGTTATTTTAGAAAGACTATTTCTAAAATGGGTGGCAAAAAGAATTGTGTCGCACAAGTAACACTGTAATGTGATAAAGATTTCCATGTGTTAGGAGATAATTGGGTAAGTTAAGAAAATCAGAAGTTCCGTCCTTTCACTGAAAAATTGAATTTCAAGCTTTAGATAGATACAGCCCCCAAATGCCCTGGTATGGCCGAGAGCGGGGTGGGTTCGCCCTCCCTCTCGAAATACTCTCACACGGCCGCGCGTATACAGCCTCTGCCAGGGAAGTCCTACTCACTGCCTTCTCGTGGCGGGGGTGTTGTTTACGAAAATGAGAGGACGAAAAGCGAATGTCCGGCGCTTTAACCGGATTCCAAATCTATGGTGCACATGGGCACCAGTATCCTGCGGGAACAAATGGCGTATGAACCAATCTTTGGTCACCGGCTACCATGGGACTGCATCTCCTTACGATGCTCCACTGCCTTGTGGGTTAGACCTTTAGGTCAAAGGCTCGGGGTGTGGCCCTCTAAGATAACCACCTGCTTCGGTCTGGGCACCCGGGCAGTATCGCAGCCCACACGCAATTAATGAACTGAAATTGTGTGGCGCATATATATTTGGCGCACTCCTGTACCAATATATATGTGTTCAAATAAAATAAAAATAATCTGACCAGGATATAAGGTAAAAGTGGGTCTGGTTTGAGTATAAATATTCGGTATGATTATTATTTGACAGAGCCTTGAACACTAAGTTTATGGAACACTAATACCCTAAATCAAGCTATCTCAGGTATCTCATAGCTAATGTCAGCGGCTGATCTCAGTCAAACAGCTTTTGAAAAGTAAGAAGCACTGGACAGGTGTAAATTTGAAAAAACCCCTGGATAGCAATAACTACCTTAAGTAGTTACTTATGTGTTATTATTGTGGAGATTCACAAGTTAAAAGTAACAAATTAACTAATTTTTCTATCATATTGGGATATTGATTATGCGTCTGAATAATACATATTGTGTACAATGGTGAAAGACTACCAATTTTATTAGCGGCTAAATTGTTTTTGTAATTGTTGGTGTAAGAAAGAGTAAATCTTCTAAAACGAGCGTTCAGAAGAACTGATCAGGATAATGGTGGAACTTCACCACATTTTCACTAACCCCGAGACGTATAATAGTTATTTGAACTAAAGGATCCCAAATTATTTATAGGACAGATTATCTTATTTATCCTAGTAAATTTATTAGGGATTTCCAAAGTTAGTATTTGAAACATCAACAGTTGCAATTTAATTAATAGAACGTCAAATCTCTAACTGAATGTCCTCGTTAACTAAAGCAACCTTGATACGACAAACTGGTAATGAACAATAATTTAAAGACAGTAGCTGTGTATGAATATATACCGCAATGAACATAACAACCTATCTCATAACTTGTGATTTAAAAAAAGGTTTACTCTGTATGACTGGTTTTTCGGAATCGATATCACTTAGATTAAAAATTATAAGGTTGAGGAAATAAGGTTTAATAAAGAAATTTATAGTACTATTAAGTGCTAAACACTATAACACTGTATTTTAAAGACGATAAAATTCTAAGTGTAGCTGAATTTCTATAAATATGGCTAACACACGGAAATATCCATAAGGTGTTAAAAAACCTAGTTGAAGAATGAAGTAAAAATGTGGTGGTGTTATCAAAAAGACTTACAATGTTTCTTGATTACATTTGTTCATCTCTACATTAAACAAATGTAATCAACGAACATTGTTACTCCTCATGGCTATCGTAAATGATGGTTAGAGACTCTGGGTGAGACGGCTCAGAATCGATCACAATGGCGTCAGTGTATACACTCTTTGTCTTCCCATAAACTAGGAGATTAAAATCGCTTCATATCTTTCTTTCTACCAACTAATTCTTTCTTCCTGTACTATATCCTTATATGCAATCTGTCTTTTATACATTACCACCATTAAATTAACTACTTATACGAATCCGGTGTTCATCTTGTGCTAATGAGGTATGGCAACTTGGACTGATGCATATATGTGTTGGTCCTAGCTGACTGACTGAAATTGTCTAGAAACTAGGAGATAAACGGAAAGTATTCTTCAATACTAACATTTACGTCGCTTAATGAAACAGCTAAGTTAATGTGTTCATAAGTAATAATTAAAGATGAACACATTTTCAAACCATTTTTAGTTACTTACAATCATCATAAGTTCGAGAATTCATCTTAATAATAAAGAGAGATAAATTTTAAAGACGTAACGTGGTGAGGTATATAAATTAAGGAACTCTTGTGTCATGATTAAAAATTAAAAACCAGATGGAATACGAAGATATTGCCAAATGCACACTTCAAGGTGAACCAACGTTGTCCATTTTTAAATTCAAGTGTTATGCAGGAGTCTTACATAAAAATTGTTGTAGTTCGGTGAAATTCATTTGGAAATAAGGTCGTAAAATACGCCGTCACAGCTGAAAAACATAAAGAAACGTATTCATGAAATAGGCATGGAGTAGGTACTAATTTTGTAGATATTTATCCATTATGATAATCAAAATTGGACGTGTTAAAATACTGTCCTCACTCTAATATACGGAGGTTTTCGCAGAACAAAGCTCATGGGTAAGAAAGTAATAAAGTTATGAAATGTTTGAGAGGGTACACTAAATATCTACGGCGAGCCATGTTTATTTGTTTCAGCGTATAAAGAAACCTCGCTTATTCAAGGTCAATATGCACCTAATAATAAACAATCAGCTTTACTTTCAAAAACAAATGTAATTTTGGAGTCAGGTTTGAAAACAAAATCATCCACGCCTTTTATAGCCATGTTAACAGGTTTTCCAAGCCCTAGAAGAAGTAAGCTATATATTTTTGTAAGTAAATATACCAAAAGAACCGAATTAATACAAAATGAAAATTTTTCCGAAATTTCCAGAATAAACAGTAGAAACAAGCTGCAATATGTATGTGATGTTGATCTGTATAACAAATAGCATTCTTATTTTAAAGGTTAAATTATTTTGGTCGGGTGAAATTGGTGCGTTAATTTTTTACTTATACCATCTTACACTTCTCATCCTCTTTTTCTTCATAACTATTTTTACTTTTAATACTGTCACTTAAGCATGGCTCTTAACTCCAGTTTTAATTTTTGTTTCGAGTGGAATCATTTCATTCAATTGTCTAGTCTATGAATCCCTTAACGTTTGGTTTTTATCTTTGTTTTCAAACATCTGTTTTGTAGTTCATATCTGTCAGCAAATAACGGAAAATCAAAACATAATATAATAACTTCATTTTACTCCACAGAACCTCAAGACCACCACTTTATCCAACAACTATTATGTCCATAAACAGACTACTAATAATGTTGCTTTCAAAAACATTGCCCTATTAATATGAATCTACATATTTCTGATCACTAACTGACCTTGAAAGCCATACTAAAACGAATAACTAAATTTTAGGGAATAACGAAATATTTTCATTGATTCAATTACTTACTTGATAAAAAATAATCCCTAGGAATTTTTCAGGAATTCTGTTTCACTCATTTATTATTAGTTACAATAAACTGAAGTGAATAAGTAGTCTTTATATCAAGAGAAGCTTACCTTACTTAAGGTCATGCAAAGTGTAATGTTGAGCTTCGAGAGTCAGAAATTGAGGGGATAAAGTATTTGAAAATAAGTCAAACAAACTGTATCGAAAGTATAACAAGATAAAACATACGGTTTTAAACGTAGATAAAATTGCATATTTGAAGCGGTGAATAAACAATATTTGCTACCATAATAGTACATAGTGAAGTCATACGCTGCTGCTTCAGAAACAACAAAACGTCTCTGTGAAACGTCAAAAATTATCATAACTACACCAGACTTAAACATACTTCGTTTGCTAAAATAAATAAATTTGGGTTAGTTTGAGAAAACTAGCTCACAATGACAAGAGTTTCCCCAATGTATTTTTTAAAATGTGTACAGACATTAAATAACTGGGTTATTGGACTTTTATCACTTACGACGCATCGCTGTATCCCAAATATTGCTAATTGATTATTCATCCTATGTTTCATTTTTTGTCACTTATGGCTTGATTATATGTAAACTGTAATTTCCCACGTAGATTGTATTGTAGTCTGATAATGTATGTATATAATCTGGTGAGTGTTTGAATTTTGATGGACTTCTACATGGTGTATAGATTTGTCTGTTTACTATGTTGTACTGCCGGATCGGTTGTTGGAAACAGAAAGCTTTACTAACGACCGGTAGATGTTTACTTTGTTTCAACAATAGCTTTAGATTAATAACTCTCAAACAAAGCGTAGGGTATCAGTTTATATGAAGAAACAATAGGATTCTTATTAGTGAGTCTTAAAAATTGATTGCAATCTACTCTAGTCCTATCAATTGGTATATTTTACCACTTACATATGTTGAAGGACCACGTTATGTTTCCTTTAAATTCTTGGATTGTTTTACTTATGTTTAATACATTACGTTTCTTCCAGATAATAAATTTGGACCCCACGTGGCTGACTGGATGGTTTTTATATCCAAAAGCTTCGAATGTATCACTGCTTACTATACCATGTAGTGTAATCCCCTGTCAGCTAATGAAAACAACAAAAGTTATGAAGTATGGTAGAAATGGGATTTTTATACATGGTAAATTATAAAAAACTAACAAAAGATGACACGATGTGAAGCTTTGCCACGAAAAACTCATGATGGTCTTTGGTGGTTCTTCTTAGAAACAGTTACATGCAATTTGTATACCAATAGCCTATTCTTCAGACCAGGCGCTTCAAATTTCATTCTGTTCTGATATTGGTAATGTGTAGCACTATTTATTGAAAAAGAGCAAAAAGCATACCAAGACTTTGTTGAGCTTTTAGTCTTCATGGAAATTCGGATACTCTATTGAATTTATCTTTGCAGATATAAAAGGCTCATAATTATACGTGAGTGAAAAGCAACAGAAGTATACAATAAGTAACAAGTTAACGAGCAACTTTGGATGATATTATTACTCTGAAATATCATATTTAGAAAATAAGAATTAATTAACTCAGATATACTAGCTAAAGTAAGATAAATTTTCTGCGGTCTAATTTGTCACTTTGTCAACCAGCAAACATTTAAGGTCAGGCTCCGAATGTGTTGTACAACGCTGTATATTTTTAGAGCTTTCTTAAATGTACTACTGTCAGTGGTTTAGCTATGTAGTAAGCATTAAAACTCTAGTGAATGCTATTAGTTTGGTTTTAGATCCCAATAATGAATAAGTTTGAAAGAGGTATCATTTTCAGCAAAAAAAAGGCTGAATTTCATGGTGATTTAGGTTATATAGAAGGTCGTACTTTAAAGGTTACTGATGTGTATATTTCTATCTAATAGACAATGTTCAATCAAAAATCTGAGTTCGAAACGCATCACTTTATCACCATAATTTAGTCTTTTACTGTCTTAGAAGTTGTGTATCAATAATGGCTGGTGAAACTTATTTCCAATGCACTGCTCTTTCGTTAATTGTTGTGTCGAATCATTGACACTACAAGTGGAGTTGACGACTTACGGCATTTCCCTAGAATTTAAAACGGCCCGTATATTTGCATGCAGTGCTTTGTTAAGTCATACTGAATTTTTTTATGATGGTACTCACATTAATTTCGGCTGAAGTTTAGGCCTGTTAATGTACTTATTCCACATATGAGTAACCCATTCACATAAATCACTACAAAAGCCTAATAAACGACATTGATGGCAAAACCTCTTAAAACTAACTGCCGTTTAAAAATTGTACATGTATACTGCCACGAGATTCGGTATCACAGCTGCAGAATTGTAAGTTCGAAAAACACAAACACTCAGCATTTTTAAAATTACGCTACTCGCACCATGACGATAATAAATGAACGACGTATAAAAACGCGAAGTTTAGACAGAAACGAGGTCCTGTATTTTATCTCGCCTCCACTGCATTTCTGTTTCTGTACTTGGCACTGTTTCTGATGATTTGTCTGGATGGTAATTTCGATGAAGGTGACTGAAAAGCCTTTTTTGAAAGACGATCTTCATCTTTTGTTCCTACTGGTGTGTTGTAGTGTGTCTTCGCCCTCTCGAACAACGTTTGTATGCAGCTGGTTTTGTGAGATTTTAGGTTATTGCTACTGTACTTGAGAATTTTATTTGTATGGGTCGCCTTCCAATATACTTGAGACCCCAGTTATCCCGTGTCGGTTCTGGCGATAAATACATAGAAGAATGATAGTTTTTGTTCGATTAATCTTCCGTTGTGAACTTGATGTCATCAAAAATGTTGTTTTTTCTTAGCTTGTTCTTTTTGACGTCGACGTATGTATCATCCAAATAACGAATCCAAATTTTTTGTTTGGGCACTGGTAAAAACGATGCTTTCAGTCTGTCTATCAACTACATTACATTATTGAGTGGCTTGTACGTAAAACGTGGTGCATCAAAGTTAGTTTAACAATGAAAGGACGAAAATTCGCTATTGGCATGATTTTTATGTCCGTTATGATGTGTATAAAATAAACTTGAAGAGATATTGGTAGGCAGTTATTGGGTAAATAACTGCCAATGTACTAACATTTTTATATATGAAAGTTTGCATGTTGCCAGACCATGTTTTGTTTGCGGTGTGATCTCATTCAAAACGATCCACAACTCTCCTTACGATAAAAAGTATCTGACAAATAGTGCGCGGTTCAGGAAACCAATTGACGATCCATTGCAAATCTTTATACTGACGATAACAAGTAGGACTGTTACTGAGTAGATTGTCAAGTATGTCTGAAAGAATTTTGAAAAGGTCTTTGCCGTTCTAATCAAACACAGGTTTTTCCTATAGATCTATACTTTGTTAGGTTGTCAGTGTTTCAGCGATGTGCTTTCAAGCATATGTAATGGTTGGGGCGTTTGAACGCGACGGTGGGAACCTCAAAAATGTGACTATAATAATATTCAGTAATTATAAGCTAATGTAAATGTATAAGTGTTAATTATATTAAGTGATTCATGTCGACTCAACATAAAAAAACTAAGAAGAAGTTTGGTGAAATAGTCCTGTTTTTCGAATGTCATTAATTACAAACTTTTTCAGCTGGTTGCTGTAGATAACCGTTGATCCAAAACCTCGATTGTATTTACGCGGACAAAGGAAGAAAATAGGGACTATGTAATGCGGATCTTGGACCAATTCAAACTAATACGGAAACATTTGTAACAGATTGTACAAGATCCGTTAGTATATTTCACGAAACAACTCACCGTGCAGTACACATAATTCTAAGTTCATTTCACGTATGTTTATGTGTAATAGGACTCGTTATCCAATACTAGAACAGTACTTGACCAAATTGTCTCCTAATATTCAGTGGAAAAGTTATATCAGACTCAACACATAATTGGTGTGCGTAGTAGACGTACTGCCACATACCTTAACAAAATTGAATGAAGCTGAGGTGCGATTGGGCTAAGTCTTTCAATTGTAACATTACTGCTTTGAGTAACAAACCATGTTGAAAATAAGCATAAACATTTTAAATCTACTTAATGTCATGAAGCTTTTTGTGCGATTGTGTATGGATGAAGTACACGTGACAAATACAAGTCGGTAAATGTAAGCTATTGGAATGCAGCTTGGAACCGGTGTATGGCTCAGACAGGCCTAATGCCTCTCTTATTGAGGTTGACTACAAACGCTAGGTTTTTAGAGCTACGACTACAATTCATTTTGGAGATATCATGCTGTAAATTTGCCTGTTCACTTTCAAGTGGTTGACCATTGCTGAGAGTTCAAACTCCATCAACTTGTAGCTCATCTTTCGTTGTTCATCTACACTTAGCTGCAGTACACATCCATGAACCTTCTTCTTGACCCCGGAACAGAAATCCAAGAACTGCCACTTATGCTATGGGCCTTAACATCGACGCAGTATAACAATCATAAACTTATTAAACTGTTATACAACGCATAGTCAGCTGGAACATCATCATGACTATTTTGTTGTAAATGTACATTGATTAAATAATCTCGCCCACAATAACCTCGCTGGATTTGGACGCCACCTTACGACATATATTCTTGAGAAAGTCGGAATACCGCATTGTGCTTTACGTTATTCATAGGCAACTAGAAATATTATTTGGAAATTAACTCCTATTCTGCCTTCAAACAAGCACTTGACGGTATAACAAAGTCTACTACGAACCCAGAGACAGACGAATAAGGTCAAAATGTGAGTGTCATACTGTGAACTAACACTGCTCTTCAAAAAGGTAGTGAGAAGTTAGAAGCAATCTGATCACGATAAACGACTTATTAAATAATCTGAGATGTCGTAACTGAGTTATTTCACAGACTGTCTACCACACAGTGATACGAGATAACAATCAAACAATTATCAATAGAAAACAGTTTAAATAGGTATGGCCATGTTAATCAATCAATACTAAACATTTGTCTTTTAAAACCTCACGCTTCTGAATGGAACAAATATTAACCAGTAAACAGCCTCAGGAAAATACCAGGCAGTTAAGTATAGATTTAGCTGAAACAACAGTTGAGTGTATGAGGAAAAAATTTATTTCACCTACTAATTTCACCCTGATATAATTTTATACGACCATTTATGCTTTTCCATTATCTATTCATATTTTAGCTTTATCTCTTGTCGCCTCTCCAAATATCTCCATCCCTTTGTTAATCCTAGTACACCTTTGTCTTGACTAACCAAACAATTATCAAATCATGTGATAACGGTTGATTCAATTGACTCCATTACACATATCAATAAAGGGCCAGATACACAAAGACCCGTCGAATAAACAATAAACGTTGAGGCATACCACTCCAAATAACTTAAAAAGGTTGCACTAGCAATGTAGAACCCTTTCTTTACATTGAGGGACGGGCTCAAGTAAGGCGATTTGTTTATATTCAGTAACCAGGTGAATATTCAGCAAAAACTGAATTCAAATCAATCACCTTGAGAAACCCTCAAGGTCAACGCTTCCCCAAAGTATCTGGGTTGCATCACTTAAGGTTGCATTCTGTAAAAAAGCTAAAAAGACTGTTTTAAAAATTATTGAAAAGTGGAGGTGCTTTTCGTCTAACCCATTATATTGAATACTCGACGTAATTCTTCAATCTCGCTGTGAAACGCTAAGAGTTTATTTAGTCGAGAAGTAAGGTCCTGCAAGTAGAATCATAGGCGATCTGTGGCACTGCATTACTTACTCAGTGGTCCCGAAATACTCAAGCAATGCTTCGAACTTATGGTAATAAGTAAACTCAACCCTTAGGTTATTTAAAGGTATTTGGAATATGGTATATTCCATTACATTAAGATGAAGCAATTGTGGTTCCAGTCTTTAGAAAGGATCACGTAATTTATACAAATCTGCTCCTAAACGGCTGATTTTTTGTAGGGACTGGCAAATTTTTAAATGCTGTCTGCCTCAAAGTTAATTCCAGGCATTTTCGTTCAGATACTTGATTGACATTTAATGTTCCATCATAAGCTAAGTATAATTTCAAACAATTTTCCTACTTTCAATAAACTAATGATATTTTTCAGACAATACTGACAAGCTCAAACCCAACAAGAATTAAATTCAATGTCTGTAAATCAAATGGATCAAAACCCCTTGTTACTGAAAATACAGAGGATTGTAAATGAAATGCCAGAGAATGAAGGAGTAATGTTATTGTTCATTGTAATGCTTTGTAGCCGTTACTAAATGGATTAGACTCTATTTTTCCTCTCATGTCAAACAACTATATTATCAATCGCAGGACCCTTCGTAGCAATTTGGAAAAATTACAGTTAAGTTACTATCAAGACCTTCTAGCATCGTTTGGTGATGTTAAGAAGGTATGTTACTTTCTTTTTTCACTCACAGTTTCAGCGTCTAGACTCTCTAGATACTTGTATAAACAGTATTTTAGAAACATGTCTTCGAATGAATGGGACATTGACTGTAGGTTCCTTTGAGTTTTATCACCTCACTAACTAAGTCTGTTAAATCGGAGACGGTGTGTTTAGTAGAAGAAGCACAAAAATTGAGATCTGATAGGTAAGCCTTTTTGACTATCTTATCTTTCGTTGCAATTCATTTACAGCAAAGTGGCGGAGATCAAAGCTTATTTACTGGAACTGTTAGTTGGTTCATACCAAATCTCTGCAGAAGATGCACATATATTGTCCTCTAAAATTAGCCACATAGATGATACTTTTTTTTCAGCCCTTTTACATGGCAAAGAAATAAAAAATACATGTAAAGAGTTATTGCAGTCAAACGAATTAACGTTCAGGTAACATAACTCTATGATTGTTTTATTCTCTAGCTGCTCACTGATGAATGAAGCAACACAAATTTTAGACAGAGCATATGAAAATCTTTATGAATGGGCTCAAAGTAAATCATTTCATTTTTCTTAATCCTTCGATAGATGAATGCATGAAACATGTTCATGAAACACCTGAGATATCTCCATATCTTCAACGTGCATTGTGCGAGTTACAAAATAAACCAGTTCTTCTAAAGTAAACACTTGAGTCTATTATTTCTTAGAATCTACTTGAAAGCATTTATTTCCTCTGATATTCTTATCAATTTTCATTTGGAAAATATGTTTCATTGTGAGAGTCGGAATGTGATTTTTCAGAGATAGTGTAGAGATCATGTCTAATACTTTTTTAAATATCGATTAATATTCCGTGTGCTTTAACAGGTCGAACGTTTAGAAAGAATAGTCGTTTTATTGAAGCTAATTTTATCCTCACCAGCAATTGATAACTTTATTTTGTCGGGTGGATGTTCATAATAGCTATCTGATTGTCTATTAAAAACTGTGATGTTCATTTCACTTTGGTGCATATTTAAAAGGATCTGTACTGTCGCTCTTTTAACAGATCTTGAAATTACTTCGTGTAGAATGCAATCCAATTTAAGCAAACTGGAATATTTCCAGTCATACATTTGCTGGCATGGTTTGAGTTTTTAAAAAGTATGATTGACTTGTGATGTGATTAGTTCTTATCTTTATTGTTACTCCGGCTCTCATTACTTTTTAATACAGAGCAATGTCTTAATCGTTAAAGCCATAAACTTTCAGCTGTTTGATTGCAACCCTTAGTCCAGTAATACCTACTTTATTCTCGGAAACAGGTTGGTATCGATAGCCTCCACACAGAATGTAGCTCAATTTTGAGTGTACAAACGTGAAAATAATTTACACTAATTTGAACAGTTTTCCATCCCAGTATATGTATCCAGTGTAGTCTTTCCTCAAGAATCCAGCCAAAAATAGATTATTCTAGTAAAGAATGGGAAGTATTCAGGGATTTATTATTTATAACAGTACACGTTGTTTTGAATAGTAGCGAAAACACGTAACTCCATCATGTGTTTAGTTAGATTGAAAGCTTCGCTCGATACTAATTAAAAGTGTGCAGATCAGGAACGACAAAAGGTGTTTGCTCATAGAAATAATATTGCACATGTTTGTTTACAAGAATGGCGTTAAAACTTTGGGTCATTCTACATTATCTATATTTTCAATTGTAGTCCGCGTTTAGTGTTAACTTTTTAATTTTATAATCAATGTGACGCAAAACATCAACATATTTCATGCATAAAACGTTAAATATATTATCAGGTTCGGGACATTTTAATGATTTCAGTAACTTGACATATTCTAAGATGTCATTTTTTATAAAACTCACAATGAAACCAGTTTGACTAAAAAATTTTTTAACGATAACATAGGACGCCTAACCAGCAAATGTCTGTATTGTTTTGCAGAAGTAAGTCTTGCAAATGGTTTTCATATATCAGACTAATTATTGCAAATTAAAAGTTTTTTAAACGTACCATGCCGGCATGTATCCACCAAGAAATTAATATCACCAGACATTTTTGTGGTGTTATGATGATCTGCACTAAGAATCTTGAAATTATTTAAAGGTATCAAATTTTCATCTTTAAGTTGATGTAACAAAAATTTAATTCAATTATACTACAGGCTGGAGATGTGTATGAACAGAAAATATTAGAAGTAATCTTTTTTAACCATAGATCTGATAAGCTTCTAATCTTTATAGAATCTATTTCCTTAGATCGACCATCATAATTACGCTTTAGTCAGGTAGTGAGAAATCGTTTTTTTTTTGCAGTTCATTTTAATATCTTTTTAGTTGTTTAAGCGTAGCCTGGTACATATGGTTTAGCGTTATTCAAACAGTTAGATCATATGTGATAGATTCTACTCTAATCACCTTTGTAGAAACGATTATGTGGTCATACATCCAAATTAATAATATTTAATAAAGTAGACGGCGAATTCGGGTAATAATATGTGGAATATTTAACAACAGTTTTTCGGTCTATACCCCTGACGATATGTCAGTAACTAAAATCAAAATGTAGGCTGCTGTTTTTATATCATCACTGACCTGTATTTACGATATTTCTTCATATTGTTCTGATGTATACTTAAAATAAATTTAACCTAGCATAAAGTCTTAATTCTTCAACTAGGTGTAATGTGTTATAACAAAGTTACATCGAATTCCGTTTTTTAAATAATAGTGTATTTGCATGATTTTACATAACTAATGACAATAGTCCTTTCTAGTAAACTTTATAGGTCACTATGTGTTTAAGCTATGTATGTGTTCCAAATCCAAACAAAGCTGTTTGTTGTACCTTGTTAAATCTTGATCGTTCTGTGTTTCATTTCTTTAGAAAAATTTCAATAACTAGTATGTCTAGAATAATATTTAAAAACTATTCCGACATTCAGTTTTTCTTTACCAATACAGGTACTCTCTTGATGAATACGCTAATGCTCGTCGCAAAGCTTCTGTTAAATCTTTTCTTGATGTTCTCTCGGTTGAAATTGACTCGAATTCCACTGTCGGGAATCATTCTGTTGGCACAATATATACGATGCACATAAGAGAAAAACCACGTGATCATGTGCGAATTGTGAGTGATATACTTGCTTGTGTTCATCAAATTACAGCCTCGGAGAGAGAGTATATAAATAGCTTATGCAAAAACTGTCACGATACACGTATGAATACTTTACATTTCATGATTAACTTATTATTATTTATTTTTGTTTAACAATTGTATCTAGACTTACAGCTTACAACCTTCCTTTGGAACCCGGACTAGTGTTGAACCGGTAATATATTCGTCCCAAACCATTGAGGTTCATGACCTCATTTTTGCATGGCTTATCTGTATTTCTCCATAATCCCATAGAGCTCAAATGTGACACCGAGATAGGTCCTCATTACTAATCAGATTTTTAGTTGGTTTCGTTTCACAATCCATGAGTACCTAATAATTTAAAAGTCAACAAGATTATTGATAATCATCAGTTCAGTTTCTCTTTAATTAAATTAAGTTTAAGATACAATTATTTAGTAGTTTAGTCGAGTAGGCTGTTTCTCTCAATCGATTTTGTGAAATGCATTCGTGTGTCAAAGAAGCTGAAGACTAAATAATTAATCAAGAAATAAAAGTGTTTCTAGACTGTGTTCGATCAAGGTGAAGAATTTTCACAAAAAGCTGAAAATAAAAGTTGAATTAATATACAAAATTGTTACCACAAAACTCATGGATAATTCAAAATATCGCCTGTTTTATTTTACCAATCTCAAGTTTAACCGAACCAAAAACTTGTTATTTCGATCCCATATTTCAACATATTTTCCATGCGGAAGATAAATATTGAAGTCCTAAAATTACAAATCAACTGTCCTCAGTTCTCTTCAGTTTACAAACTTAACAGAAATGCCACCTCTTAACTTAATGTCAGATTAATAGAAACTTGTTTCTCATTAGTCAGAAGGGGGTGTTATTTCCTCATTTCATTCCAAAATGTTAAGAAATTTTGGCTATGAAAATTTTCCAAACTCAAATAAGGATAACTTAGTGTACTCAGTAATAACACTAATAATAGTACCTAGAATAATATCTTGGTAAAATATTGTTTAGCATGAATCGGAAGTGAAAGGTTCTACATCCATATTTCATCAGGTATATCCGCAAGTAAGAGCTATCTGTCCAATTAGTTAACCCTCCCCTTTCTGTTTTTGGTAATTCGCTTCTGAGTGAGGTAAAGATTGGAACTAGTATTGGAAAATATAGACGCTGTATAGTGATAAAACTAAGTAGAAGATCAAAGTGGAATTAAATAAATTATGATAAGATTATTATAGTTTTTGTAGCCGTTGAAAATTAGTAAGTCAAGTGGATTGTGATCTTCATCCTCTTGGTTAGTATCCATTTTCACATGTTTATGTAAGCTTGAACTATACGCAGTCGCTCGATCTAAAACGCAGAGTGAAGCCACAGAGATGGTAATTCTGGATTTAGGCGTTGAGTAGTAGGTGAAAATACCAAGTAGATTGATCTGGCTATAGAGCTTCTTCCATCAGGATGGTTAGGAGTCGTCTTATGATTCTCTAGTTGTGGCCTACTCTGATATACAGGACCAGCTGATATAGGAGTAAACTGTGGAGAGCTAACAGACCAAGGTTCACCGTTAATTAATCAAGTCGTTGACTGTTGATCTAAGCTATGATGTTGGTTTCGACACTTAACTGGAACTCGCGCATGGTTTGTTATTAGGGCTTGGAGTTAATAGGCAGCATATCTAATAGTTGGTCACGATGGTGAAGATTTATTCTTTATCTGCTTTTGCTCCTGTATGTCTATATTACTCTACAATTTCTATTGCATGTCTTCATCCCTTCTTTTTGTATCTTGATTTATATCTTCATCTTTTTCAAAATCATATATACCCCGATCATTTTGCTACTCATGAATTTTATATGACTACTGATATAATTTGTTTACTCGAACCGGAGGATATGGCTGCTAGGTTATGCACTGTATTGACTAACTAAGAACTCGTCCATTAGAACTAAATTAATGGGTATTTGATTTTTTTCATTTCCTCAGTAATTGCAGACTTGAAGATCATTTGTTTGGATACAATTACCGAGAGTTTATGCTCTCACCTTAAAGTAAGTTTGTCATTACGTTCGATTAGGAGTTTCATGTATGTTTTTTCCGCCAGCTGCTTTAATATGTTAGTTTATTTATTTTACCTCCAGTATTATCAATCCTAGCATAAATGTAACTCAAAGATGAACGCATTAAAAATTATTTGGTGAATTAGTTGAATTTCTAAGTAAAGTGCATATAGGAGTTTCTCTTCATGGTTATACTGCTCCCACGACTTTTTCCATCTCTATGCAGTAAATGTGGTAATATAAATTTTGTTTTTGTTGTAAGGTGGTCTCTAAAGTAAATGTTGATTATGTGCAGTTCTTTTTTATGCATTACTTACACCTGTTACCCCTCATCGAGGAGCAAAGGCCGCCCACCAGCACTCTCCATCCAACCATGTCCTGGGCAATCCTTGTAAGATTTAATTTGTCCTACAGATATACTACTAAAACCGTAAACGCGGTACTGGCGATCACAGAGTCTACGTGAAAGCTATAGTCAAAACAAGGACAACTTAGCTTTAAAATTTATCTGTTTCGACCAATATTGCGTGTCTCATCGAAATAAATAAAATTATGAGTCACACTAATGTAATAGGATAATAATATCCTTCAATTGGTAGGTCACATGCAACAGGGATAATTTATAGACACATCAGACCAGATCGACGTGGTGGGCGCTTAAACAACTATTTGATTGGTTAGTTATGGACATAACTAACAATCCTTTGAAGTTGCTATTCATGCTTTTCATGTCTGCTTCCAATTACCAGCGCAGTGTGTTTTTTGAAATTTCTCTTTTTCGTTTCCCTTGAGGATTCCAAGTTCGGGCTTGCCTCATGGTACAGTTTATGATTTCCGTAATGTATATCCTACTTACCGCCAGTGCCTTTTCTTAATTTCCTCTTAGCTGGAAGTTGGTCTGTTCTCTCCCACAATAGATTATTACTGATAGTATCCGGACAACGGACATTGAGTATCTTGCGTAAACTAACGTTTTATATTTGAGCCTTAGATTAACAAAATCAGTTAATAAAAAGTATGAAAGTGATATCGAAAACTCATCACTGTAATTTACTATGTATTTCACTTTGTTCACTTCACAATGTACTTCTGTAATTTATCAAACCCGTCGAGAATGAGAATACGAATTTGGATTGCCACATATCACGAAACTAAGTGAAAACTGATTATTAAACTCCATCTTATTTAAGAGACATCTCTCTACTTCGATTATTATACTTACGGAAATATTTCTCTCGTTTCATTATTTTTTTCAAAAATTGACTAGTTGATGCAGACTTAAAAGATTACTCACGTATGCCTGTTACCCCTCATGGAGAAGTATAGGCTGCTCACCAGCATTCTCTATTCGACTCTGTCCTGGGCAATCCTCTACAATGTTTTCCAGTTGCTATTCATCCTTTTCATGTCTTCTCCCAATTCTCGACGCAATGTTCTTTGGTCTTCCTCTTTTTCGTTTCCCTTCAGGATTTCAAGTTAGAGCTTACTATGTGATGAAATTTGACGAGTTCCGTAATGTATGTCCTATCCACTTCCAGCGTCTTAATTCCCTCCTCAGCTGGAAATTTGGTTTGTGCTCTTCCACAGTAGGCTGCTGCTGATGGTATCCGGCCAACGGACATCCAGTATCTTGTGTATATAGTTATCTACAAATGCTTGTACCTTTTCGATGATGGTTGTATTAGTTCTCCAAGATTCAGCTCCGTACAGTAGAATTGTTTTGACGTTCGTATTGAATGATCTGACTTTGATGTTGGCTGACAGTTGTTTTTGAGTTCCATATGTTCTTCAACTGTAGGAAATGTTGTCCTTGTTTTGTCAATTCTTTACTTTATGTCCTTATTGGATCCTCCTTATTCATCGATGATGCTGCCCAAGTATGTGAAAGTTCCCATCAAGTGTGATTGGGTTGGTGTTCTTTGTGTTGTATTTGAGGATCATGCTTTTCCCCTTGTGTATGTTGAGGCCTACCGATGCAACAGCTTCTGCTACACTGGTTGTCTTGAACTGCATTTGTTGGTGTGTATGGGATAGAAGGTTCAGTTCATCTACAATGTCCAAATCGTCCCTTTAGATATGGAGGTCTTCATGATCCAGTCAACCATCAGAAGTGAAAAAGGGAGAGTAGACAGCCTTGTCTGACTCCAGTCCTTACTTGGAATGAATCTGTCAGTCGTCCTCCATGTACGACTTTGCACTGAAATCCGTCGTATGAATTCGGGATAATGTTGAAAATCTCAGGTACTCCATAGTGTCGAAGAAGTTCCTTTGATGTTTTCCTATTCACACTGTCAAATGACTTCTCATAGTCAATGAAGTTTATGTATAGTGACGAGTTCCACTCAAATAATTGTTCAAAAATGATCCTTAGCGTCGCGATTTGGTCTGTGCACGACCGATCCTTACGGAATCCAGCCTGTTGATCTCGAAGTTGGGCGTCTACTGAATCTTTGATCCGGTTCAGCAACACTCTGTTGAAAACTTTTCCTGGTACTGACAGTAGTGTGATGCCTCTGTAGTTCTCACATTTACTCAGATTCCCTTTCTTTGGCATCTCGATAATGTATCCTTCTTTCCATTTTGTTGACACCTGTTCTGCCTCTCGAATCTTCCTAAATAGAATGTGGAGCATATTTGCAGTTACTTTTATGTCTGACTTCAGTGCTTCAGTTAGTATGTTGTCTACCCCTGCTGCTCTCTCGCTCTTGATTTGTCTGATGGCCATCCTGATTTCTTCTATCGTTGGTGGAGTTACATCTATGGGAAGGTCTGTAGGTTTTGCTTCGATGTCCGGTAGATTCAATGGAGCTCGTCTATTCAAGAGTCCTTCGAAGTATTCTACCCATCTGTTCCTCTGTTCTTGAAGCTCAATGACTCTTGCTTTCTTTGTCCTTGACAGGTCTCTCTGGTTTAAGGTATTTTCCTGACAGTTTCTTCGTTGTGTCATATTTCCTTCTCTTGCTGCTTTTTCCGCTGTCATTGCTAGATCTTCCATGTGATTTTTCTTTTTAACTCCAATGCTCCTCTTCACTTCCTTGTTTGCTTCTGTGTATTCAGCTTGTGTCTTGACTTTCTCTGTTCTTGTTCGGCTGTTGTTATTTGCTGTCTTCTTGTCCTTCCTTTCTTGGATCTTGTCTAAGATTTCGATAGAGACCCATTCCTTGTGACGATACATCTTGCGGCCCAGTACCTTTCCAGTTGTTCTCTATAGTAGTTTCCTCTTTTTGGGTAGATATTTTATGGATCGGAACTTGTTGTTCAGAGTTATCTTGAATTCGTTGAATTTGTTAGTATCTCATAGAAAGGCTGTATTGAACTTCTGTATTGCTGTTTCCTCGGCTGTCCAGTGTTTCTTTAGCTTCATTTCCATCTTCGCCACAACCAGATGGTGATCTGAATTTATGTCAGCTCCTCTCCTGGTTCTCACGTCTTCCATTGCCTTTCTGAATTTTTTTTATTTATACAAATGTGATCTATCTGGTTCTCCATGGTGGGATCCGGTGAGATCCATGTAGCTCTGTGTATGCGTTTGTGTGGGAATATTGTGCTTCCTATAGCCAATTTGTTGGATGAACATAGATAAGCAATTTTTTCACTGTTTTTGTTCTTTTCTCCTAGTCCATGTCGTCCTATGATATCTTCATACCCGATGTTATCCATTCCGACTTTGGAGTTTAAATCTCCCATCAAAATGGTTAGTTCTTTTTTTAGGCGCTTCGCCATGATTGATTGCAGTCTCTCGTAGGGCTGACCTTTATCATCGTCGTCGTTATCATTGGTGGGTGCATAGCACTGGATAAAATTCATCGTCATTCCCTCCTTTGTTTTGAAGGATGTTCTGATGGTCGTTGATCAGTGATATTCCCACTCTGTGAGTTCTTTTCGTGCTTCTCTGGATATCATCAGTGCAACTCTTTGTGTGTGCGAAGCACCTTCTTCTCCATAACCAGAGTATAACAGCATCCTTCCTGAATCCAATCTTTTTTTTCAACTGGGGTTCAATGGGTTTCGCTGATTCTGAGTACTACCAAGTTGTATCTCCTCATTCCCACTGCTATTTGATTGGTCCTCCCGGTGTTCCACATTGTTCGAACGTTCCATGTACCCATAAAATTGTTTCTCTGGTTGTTAGAGGGGGCATCGACCTCGTAATTTCCGAATAATCTTGGCTTTCACCATGTAGAGTGATAATTCTTCCAAATACAAATACTTGAATCCTCAGTACAGAGTTAAAATGGTTTAAATATCTCTTTTCGGTTTTCGTTTTTTAGCAAGATCGTCTTCTACTGCTTGGGGTTACTGACCCCATGCACAGCCGTCCTCCTTTACACGAGCTTGGAACCTGAAGTAACGCTAGAAATACTACAGGCGGAATTTTACGATCCCACACATCACTGAAAGTTCCGTAGCACCTAGGTTGAAAAACCTGTCAGATAGTAAAACTCCTTGAAATTTTCGGACAACATAGTACTGAAAATGTGCTGCACTATGTGATAAACTAACATTTAAAGTAAAATAGACAAGCGGAGTTTTGTGTCATCAATAGCTTTAAATATTTTACGGTGAAAGACACAGTTCAATAAAAAAACACTCAATATGAATTCTTTTCAGTTACTGTTCAACAAATCTCAGATGGGCCTGATGCCAATAAACACAACAATTGTTGATTTGCAACAAGTGTTACAATGCTCCAACATTTTGTGTTAGGTGGAAATGTCATCAATGCATTCAAAATCTGGATGGGAATCCGAACTGTTTCTCATGAGCCCGCTTTTCACGAGATACAAACATTCTGCGGCGTATGATAGTAGCTGATAGTTTGGAAGCAGATTTGTATAAATTACGTGATCCTTTCTAAAGACTGGAACCACAATTGCTTCATCTTAATGTAATGGAATATACCATATTCCAAATACCTTTAAATAACCTAAGGGTTGAGTTTACTTATTACCATAAGTTCGAAGCATTGCTTGAGTATTTCGGGACCACTGAGTAAGTAATGCAGTGCCACAGATCGCCTATAATTCTACTTGCAGGACCTTATTTCTCGACTAAATAAACTCTTAGCGTTTCACAGCGAGATTGAAGACGAAAAGCACCTCCACTTTTTAATAATTTTTAAAACAGTCTTTTTAGCTTTTTTACAGAATGCAACCTTAAGTGATGCAACCCAGATACTTTGGGGAAGCGTTGACCTTGAGGGTTTCTCAAGGTGATTGATTTGAATTCAGTTTTTACTGAATATTCACCTGGTTACTGAATATAAACAAATCGCCTTACTTGAGCCCGTCCCTCAATGTAAAGAAAGGGTTCTACATTGCTAGTGCAACCTTTTTAAGTTATTTGGAGTGGTATGCCTCAACGTTTATTGTTTATTCGACGGGTCTTTGTGTATCTGGCCCTTTATTGATATGTGTAATGGAGTCAATTGAATCAACCGTTATCACATGATTTGATAATTGTTTGGTTAGTCAAGACAAAGGTGTACTAGGATTAACAAAGGGATGGAGATATTTGGAGAGGCGACAAGAGATAAAGCTAAAATATGAATAGATAATGGAAAAGCATAAATGGTCGTATAAAATTATATCAGGGTGAAATTAGTAGGTGAAATAAATTTTTTCCTCATACACTCAACTGTTGTTTCAGCTAAATCTATACTTAACTGCCTGGTATTTTCCTGAGGCTGTTTACTGGTTAATATTTGTTCCATTCAGAAGCGTGAGGTTTTAAAAGCCATGTGGTTTGTATTATGGAAATATTAAGACTCAGATTCTAATAGAAGGCAAATAGTGAATGCACCTGCACCAAAGTTTCTAATCACTGCTTACTATAATCGCGCGAAACCCAAACGATAATGGGGATAATCGTTATTGGTATGATGCTTGAATAATGGTTGTAAAAATATGTCTATTGTTTTATCCATCTGGAAATTACTTTAACCCATCAGTCGAGTCATATCGTAGGACTTCATAAAAGACATTGTATCCCTAAATGTTATTAATTCATTTAATGTTGATAGATTGTGAAATTTCATTGAGCAGTGGAAGATTACACAAGCAACCCTGAAGTGCAACAGTGGCCATAGTAGTCGGCAGTAGATTTTGACTGTTGGGTGTAAAGGTTGATTCACTTATTCTGTCAGAGAGAAAAAGCGTAAGATCTTCCATCAAACAGGCTTGTTAGTGTAATTATCCGTCTCTTCATAATTCATTGTGATCTCTCTCTGGAAGATTTGGTTGATCTTTATTAATTTTAATTTCAAATAATTTTAATCTTTATGCTGCTTTCTACTACTACTATTATCTTAAATATCTAAATCAATTCCTTCTGTTATGGCATATGTTCCCTTTTCCTTTTCACTCCATGTACTAAGTGACGAACAACCGCATCCTGCATCAATATTGTTAAGTTTGTTTTTGATTTTAAAATAAAAATATAATGACATGTGATATTGGACTTTTATTGGTTTGTGAGCGTATATAGACAAGTATCTATGCTAAATGTATGAGACACTTTCTAATATTATGAATCTCTTTTCCACTGTAATTGTATTCGGATTTTACACCGTTTGACTACTTTGTATTTTGTGTCAAATTATTAGTCAGATCTATTGTCTGGTTCAAAATTGTTGATCATGTATCCGGATTTAATCTGGTCTACTTATCTCTTGTCATCTAGAGTGCCCCCAGTTATGATAGCTAGTGTATCAAATCGTATTATCAGGTGATTCGCATCGAACCTCAGAAAACCCCTCCGTTTTAAACTTCTGTAATATTAGAATGTAAGACTGTTTTCTAAGTAATTAAAATCTTTTTTTCCTCTGTAAAGTTATCTTTGATTTAAATTTATATATATTTGTGCTTTAGATTTAGATTAAATATGCATAACAATTAGTTGAGAATAGTTTTTTTTACTTTTTAGTTGAACATGGAAAACATGTTGGTATCTCATCATGATGCCGTTACACTATATAAAATGAATAATATTATGAGATTTTATCAACATACATTTAGGTAAGTGTGACTATAGTTAATAAATCAAAAGTTTATTGATCTGTGTGAGATTGTGTATGTATGTGTATAAGACCTATTTGTTGATTTGCTAGTGCTTTTCTGTAACAGCTTTTTACTAAAACGAAATATCTGTCATGTGATATACACCGTTACAATTCTTTTAGTAACGATTATAACTCCTATCACAAATAAAGCAATATATGAGGCTACTGATAGCGTAATAGACTTGAGATACCTATCTAGCAAGATAGACATCTGAAATCAGCTAAGTTAAGAAGGCGACAGTTACTATTGCCTTCTAGGATATCTTGGCAGTAGTGTGAATCCAATGAAATTGTAAAATGTGATCGAGATTAAATGGTTATCACAAAATGTAGATATTCTCGATTTCATTTATGTGCTGGGTTGATACATAGTTCTTAAAACGTGGATAGAGTAATTCCCCAATCTCTTGATGGATTGGATTAATAAACCCTGTTTTCGTGAGGTGTCCTGATTTATAATGTACGGTAGTGGGTTGCTTAGAAAGGACTTTTGTAGTCAAGTAGGGGATTCGAATTTATGAACATCGTAATCGGTAATATCTTTTTATCTCAGGAAAGTATTTAGATTTTTCTACGGGCTTCACTTAAAAAGACCAGCATCATTTTTTGCTAAACCAGGTCAACTTTTTAGAGAAAACCCATAGAATATGTGTTGTATAAAATTATCAGTAGGTTTCGATGTAAATTTACATATTTGTAGTGAACGAAGCCTCAAGTGGGTACAAATAATTTATTATTTAACACGAAATTATAGAGTTCTTTCGTAAAATGTAATGATAAATTTAATATTCCATTTGCAAACTTCATCGTTCCTCTATCGCTATTACAATTGCTCTCTTTTTCCGTTCTCTTCGATTCGATCTTCCCAACCTTCTGCAGCCAAGCATTCCACTTCTGATTGGTGTTATATACTACTTATGAATATCGATATAAGTAGTATCCACCACATTTTTTTCTCATTACATAAAGTTTCTTTTGCATCTGAGAAAATATATTAACTAACGAGAATATCCTTTATTGTTTAATCAGTTTAAAGTATTTCTACCGGTTAAAACGTACTAAAAACATCTTGTTAACCAATCAGATAGATAATTAAATGGTTAGAAAGACTCAGCTCGACATCTAATCAAGTGTTCAGATTTCACACAAATGGGTCTATCTAGCATTAGAATGGTGATTCCAGCCAAGCTGATTTAATATGCTTATTACTTACCGGAAAGTGGGATGAAAAATGATTACCATAGTTTTTATCATAACAACACAGAACACTTACACACTAACATGACTAAACTAATAAATAGTCTCGGAAACTTAGTACCTACTGAATATTACATAATCCATTACTAAGAGACATGAGCACTGGGCTCAGTTGCTGAGTGACGGTTATGAAACTCACTTTCTTCTGTTCGTGCGGGCACTTGGTATAATTCATTTTTATGTTTAGTCTAGCTCATTTCTCAGTGTTCAAATATTTGTACGACCGATTATCTGCATTAATTTTATGTTGATTGTAAAATTTCTTTCAGTAAAGTGTGTATCATTTTATTTTACTTCAATCTAAGTTCTGTTTTCATCGTTTTTATTTAGATCACTGATTAAATCTACTGCCTCACTCAATTTATGCCTAGATGAAGTTCAGAAGCTCTGTAAAAGGCTAATACTAAGCACTCTCAAACAATTTGTTAAACAAACTCTAGAACAAGTGAGAATTTCAAGTTATGATTTCCTTTTTCGTTAAATTTTATAGGTAATGTACAATGTATAGCTCATTTGTAATGAGGTTACAGTAGCCAATACAGACGTTCACAAATAAGTGGTACCTTGAATTAAATGACTGTATGATTATGCTCCTGTTATGATTTTCTGAACTTCATAAATAGCACAATACTAAGTTTTGTCTGTGACTATAGCATTGCTGTTTGAAAATCGTAACAGAAGAATAAAAGAAATCATTCTGTTAATACAGTAAAATTTCCGGTGACTAAATTTTCCTACATTAACTATTGATATGTTGTCGATAAAAATAGCTTGGAATTCGCTATAAAAAACACTAAATAATATGCCTGATAAACATTATGCTAACAAAGACGGGGACCAAATGTTTATAGTTCCTTTTGTTTTAACGACTCGAACAAAAAATCACCCGACCCTCAATATTTCAGTATAAAGTCAGTCCAGGAATGTGTTATTCACAAAGTAGACGCTGTACATGACGTATAGAAATCTTAAGACCATTAGATTTGAGAATTCAATATTTTTCTGTCAATGTGAATATCTCAAAAATCACCTGTATTTGATGTGTTTAGCTGTTCATACTTGGCTTTTCTCGATAATATGCTTTATTCCGTTACTGATATTTTGTAAGGCTAAACGTTCTGGGATAAATTGTGATTGTAAAAATCGTTCATCGGAATTTAACTCCAACAAATGGACAATAATGTACACATAGTCAGTTTGTTTCATCGCTGTTTTTATCTCGTGAGGACGGCGTACGATTTGGAAGGTGGTCGATATCCCAAACTATGGAAATCCTGGAAGCAACTGGACGACCGTTTCGTCCTAGTATGGGACTCCTCATCAGTGCCCACCCTGGGTTCGAATCCCGCGAGGCGGGGTCGTGGATGCGCACTGCTGAGAAGTCCCACAATAGAACGAAACGGCCGTCCAGTGCTTCCAGGTTTTTCATTGTGGTCTAGCTTCAATTGACTCATGATCTCAACTGTTGAAATTACATATTTTTTATTACGCTCTTGTTGTTAATGTATTTTAAAGAAATATTCTCTCTAGTTATCAGTCTGATTCTTCCTTATGTACTCATAGATTACCAGAATACAGTCAGCGATGTAATAATCAAAATAATAATAATTTTCTTACAATTAATAAGATTATGTTAGTTATTTTTTGTTTCTTTTTCATTTTCTTTACAATTTATATTAGCCTGACCATCCAAACTTAAATTTATCTCCGAATGAACTAATCACTGACACTCTACAATTACTTATCCAAATGGTCGGCGATCAAGATATTTCATTACTGCCAAACGATGAAGTGAAAGTCGAACGTGCAGAGGTACTCTATTTATTAATGTGGCAAAACTTCTCAGTACAACCACTGTTTGAATGAGGCCTTTTCACAAACCGTCTCTACCTTTTTAAATCTACAGTTATTGTTTTACATTAAATCGTCTATTGGATGTATTAGGATTTTGATTAAGTGAATCTTACGGTTGGAAGTTTGAGAAGTAACATTTTAAGTTCACTTAGTGTTGTTTACTTGAATCTTCCAATTGATGTTTAGGACTGCAATTGATTTCAATGTATATCCAAAATAAATGATCAGTAGAACTACAGGATCATATAGATATTTTTTGGAAAACACCACGTCTACTAAGTAATGTATGTACTTCCTCTATACTCTTAGCATTCATGAAATATGTTTCGAATAACATTCTTATTTGACTTATTCTATTTCGTTATTCACTAACGCATACCTACGAAATTAAGATTTCACTCAGTTATTATCACGAGTCCAGTCAAACCATATGCGGCCACCTCACAGGTTTGTGTACAAAGCAGTGTTAATCTAATTTCTTACTTCTTTACCTTTTTGCCGTACGGACATCCTTCTTCATTTCAGGTAATCGACTGTTTGGTATCTCCTTTGATCACTTACTGCGAAAAGTCTGCTAGCTTACTCAACCTTAATTCACTATCGCACATAAGATATCTGGACGACCATCTGCCCACCAACCCACCTGATAATCCTTCAGTATCAATATACCTAGCCAACTGTTTTAATGCTATTCAGGTTAGTCTTTCAGGGGTGCCCTTCACTTCTAGTCAAGTCGAACAAGTTGCACTGAAGTTAGACAACTGTCTGAATTCACTGGTTGTCGCACAAGTTTCGTTTATACTCGAAAGGACAGGTCTTCTGTTAATAAGCCAAAGACTTGGCACTGTTCAGGATCCTAATGTTCCCCAGTACACGATATCCCAACTTCATGACATGCTGGTAAGTTGTTTAGCTCTATTTTGAATGCAATAAACACTGCTACTTCAAAATACACCATACATGTTTAGTAACCTTTGTTAACTGTCGACTTGTCAAAACTACCCTCTATGAAGTTACGACTAAACGTGATTAGACTAACCACATGAGCATACCGCATGACATAACCTCGAATTGTCCAGCAGATGACACTTGCCTGTATCCAACACAGAGCACCAGTTCCTTTGAAAATGAGAACCCCCGCTTAGTCCAACACTAAGTAGCGTGAGACCCGCGGTCTCCTTTTGACCACCTATAATGGGAATTGTTATTGATATTACAGACTGTAAATTAACACTGATATTTAGTACGCCATTTTAAATTGTAACACACGTATACAGTTAATATCGCTAGCAAGCTGAAATACTGACAGCCGTGCAGTGATTACTAAGCGCATTAGTGTAAAATGTCTATCACTAAGTTGCTTACTTTTAAACATGTGGTCAGTAACCGCTACTTCGATCGCTCACTTTTTCCAAGTATTATTTCCAAATGCTTATAGGTGTCAATCCCTAATCACCCGATTTTGTAGTGTTTATGTATCACTCTGCCTTGAAATGAAACTACGTTAATAAGGACTACTACTCATCAGCTCAAAATCAAACTATTCCGTTCACTGTTACTCTTATTTTATTCTTAGGTGGATTTCAATAATTACTTATCGAATCCAGACAAACTATGCCTTCCTGACATAAACAAACTATGTTCCCAACAGTTACGAAGGCTGGTTCGTCGTCGTTCTGCTGACCAGATTCATAGTTACTACCAATCTGTTCACCAAGCAATCATGAATGTAAGCCAAACTTGTTCCGAAAGCGATACGACTGTACAACTGTATACTCCACAACATGTCGCTGAACTAATTCTCAACTTCTGATTGTTTTCAATAAAAATAAAAAATTAGGTCCTGTTTTTATTGTTTTGTTGAGATGATTTCTATTCCATTCGAGGAAATTTATTTGCTGTCACAGTATCTCTACATCACAATGACTGGTTGCTTGATCCCCGCTACATCAGAATTTAAAACGAAAACGGAAGGTTACATATGATACATTGGTTAGTAAAATTAAGGTATTCAATGGATAAATTATGCCTCTGTGTCCATAGCTTCACCAGATGAGTCGCTTTCAGGTGAAATGTGTGAAATGAGGGGTAACTCTGATTGTACGTTCTCGGGAGATAAATGGTCCATATCTTCAGGGCCTGCTAGCTTCACACCCACAACCGTAGGTTTAGGTGGTTGCTCATTACTAGACTGAGTGTCGTCATCACTTTGAGTCTTTCCATTCTCCATACTATCAGCAGGACACATCTTACTATTCTCATCTTCAATGTCGCTGCAACTGCTGATACTGTCCGTATGTTTGTTTTTCTTTGAGGATGGAACCTCATCCAAAATTGAGCTCGGACGGTTGTTAATTTCTGAATTCTTTTCTCTCTTTTCTTGTCGAACTGATCCGTTGCTGTGACTTTGCTTCGCTGGAACATCTCGATGTTTTTTCGGCTTGCAATCCCGTCTGTCATCAGATTCTCTTTCACAGTGACGATATTTTTCACGATCTCTGCGATCAGGTCCACGATTTCGCTCCCGTTCTTTTTCACGTTCTCTTTCTCGGATTTTTTCACGATCCCTATCGCGGTCCCTTGTCCGATCCCTTTCACGGGTGTTTCTGTTTTGCCGGTCACGATGGTCGCTTCGGTGACCTTTAGATCGACTACGTGAGTATCGACGACTTGAGTGCGAACGAGAATGCCGATGTTTTTTGCGATTGTGAGACCTAGAGTAGTAAAACAGATGAAAATTAGTGTCGAAAGTTTCGTGAACGAACGGCAGAACAAAAACTAGTCTTATCAGCATGTGCAGAACTTTCTACCGAACCGCCAGTCAAATCTGGGAATCTAAAAGTTCGGACTAGCAGAAGTAATGTATGTAAAGCTGTATTGAGTTATGATAGTATTGATACTGACCTGTGTCAGGTTAGAAAAGTTTCTGCATTGGGAATTCACTTCTATACTGTGTTCAAAAAACAGAAGGAACAATTGTGATGTTGCCCCCATAGTTACGAGTTTCTAATAATGGCGAGGATACTAAACTCATCCAGCTTCTTACAATCTAGTCTACAGAAACTTGAACTTAGATACTTTAGTGCAATTTGATGTAATTCTATCAACATATTTGAAAATAAATTTTCCTGTCATTGCAGTCAGTGAAATTGTAAAGCGTGAAAATCATGTACTACAGTATACTCTTATTGGTCTAAATCCTTAGTTTAGTTCAGAAGCACAGAAGTCACACAATTGTCAATTGGAAAGCTGTTTTCCTATCAGTACTATTAAAACTATAAGTACTTCGTTGCACCTAAGGAAGATTAATTCAGTGAAGTGTTGTAGAGGGGGTTGAAGGTAATTAAATAGAACGAAAGGAGATAGGGAACGAAATGAACATGTATACTTCCGAGGTAGTACACATAATTTAGTTTTTAGTTGCAACATTCCCGATTACATTTTGTTGTGGCGTAATTAAATATGATTACCTAGGCCTTATTACATCATCCAAATGATATTTATTACACGAAACCGTATGGTATTCTGACACAATGTTTCTAACTCATTGTACATTCTATACATGTCATCTTGAAACTGGTGATTAAATCCTACTGTTCTAATAGAAGATGGTATAGTTGGAGATGTCTGTCTGTAAAAAAATTTCACGGTATTTAGCAGTGCGATTCTTAAGCAACCTCCTGGTACAGTAAGTTTGAGAATGTGTTTTACATAGCATCACTCAACACGTTACGCAAGCTTAACTACCGCATCTACGCCCTACACTTGACAAAATATCTCTTAATATCCTGCAGCCACAAGCATTGACTCATATAACAGGTTACTATTTAGGCTTTCGCTTCCAAACTGATGTTTTTGAATGAATCACCGTTCAGAAAAGCTGGCATCAACTTACCTTGACCTAGTATGATCACTTCTCCGATAATCCTTGCTTCGCGAACGTGTGCGGTGGCGATGTCCGCGAGACCTGGAGCGTGACTGCGTTGGAGACCGTCTTCTATCTCGACTGTGACGAGAATGGGAGCGTCTCCTATCTCTAGACCGACTACGATATCTTCTTGAAGTTGACCTGCGTCTGGATCGAGAACGTCGAGCACGGGATCGGGAACGTGAGCGCCTTCGATCACTGTGTTTGCTACCTTGAGCACACGAAAATACATCATAGATAACTGTATAAGTGATTCATATTAATAAATGGTACGAAAGAATGGATCGAAACTCAATATTAAAGTCAAATCATTTTTAAAGTATTTAATGGTCGAGCCTGCGAACATTCATTGCAGAAACAATTAATACGATAAACTCGAATATACTGCAAGTAAAGTTGAATGAGCATCGTTTGCTCGTACACAATGGATACTTTGAGTCATTTAGGTAACTGAATTGTATTTACAGAACAAAGAGAAAACATATTTCTTATAGTAAACTGCAGTCGATAGAGCCCACTATTTGTGTAACTTCAGATGTTAAAATTAGAAAAAAAAGATGACATAGTTGAGACCGCTTAAGTTGACAGTGATCATAATCAAACCTGCTTCAAACAAGTGTTTCTTGGTCACTAAATGGATGACGTTTAAACCCAACGCACTATAATTAAGCAACATGTTGGACAATAAAAAAGGAAAGTCAGTTCGATTTTCATTACGTCATACTTTAATAAGTAATATGCAAGAACATAAAACCAGTAGGAATTTCTGAGTCAATGGTAATAATTGTTATGATTAGGCATGTTATCTGTTTAATTGTCACCAGTGACCCATAAATTACCCTTGCTTTATTAACTGTACAAAAATGTTACTACACTTGTAATAAAGCTTAGTGATCTAACTGAAAACATTACGATCAGTGCGGGGTTACACAGATTGTTGGATTTCAAGAACCGGAAACATTACTGTTCGAATTTACACTACGGGAATTTTTAATAATAAAGTGAGTATAAGTCATGTGGCGTTAAATGAGGATAGTAGTAGTGAATACAAAGATGTACTACCAACCACGTAGCCAAAAGACGTTAGTAAAGTAAATGGAACTCTAAGGCATTGATTAACAAGATTCATGGATTCTTTTCTGTGGTTTTTGGATAGCTGTAATATCTCTCGAGTAACAATTAGTTTTATGAGTGATGCCGATTCTACATACATAGCTTATTCACTACTTATGAACGACTTCTCAACCCTTTTTATTCTTTAATTACTTTGTAATTCATTCGGCATTATTCCCAACACTGGAATTTGTAGTATTTACCTACAGTTACCTTACTATTATCGATATTAATCTTGCAAAAAAACACACTGGTCTGTAGACTTGAGGAACAATCATGCAATATTTGTCCGTTATTTCTTTTAAATTTTTAAATAGGAATACCTGCCTGGCTTTATGAATACACAAATACACTTCACCTAGACTTATTTAAATCACTGTTAATTGCTTTGCGTTACCAAGCTGATGTACAAGGCCTTCTGAAGCAGTATACTTCAGAACCACTGATCTGGTAATGATCTATGAAAAACCAGATATTCGGTGTGTTTTGTGAAGTATTAGAACTTCGGCAGTTTGCTGGCCAGTCATACACAACGTAAAACCCGGTACGTGCGCATCGGTTCAACTTGCCACACTCAACCAGCAACAAAGAACCCAACAATTAGTAAGGGGCAATTCAGTGCACACGCATGAGTCAGTGAACCTCGACTAAATTAAGATCATTTAATTTGTTTGGATACCCACGTCTCCTGCTCTGAATTTAGAGTTAACAAGGCCTCTAAAGCGTTTCAAATTACGAAATATATGTATAGGAACTAGTTGGAAACTTTTCCAATTTGTTTTATACAAGATAAACTAAAGCGGAGGGGAATGTGTTGGCATGGTTCTAGAGCAATGTAGTTCAAACATACACGTATATCTTTAGTAGGGACGGAAATCTACGCTTTAGCATGACAAAAGCTAACTGTGAAAAATTTTTCCATTCCTAGCAAAACGTGCTATATGTTTACATGTTACGTGGAAGTCATTATAACTATACTGAAATAAACTTACTGTGACCACCAACACTTGAAGCTTGTTCGTTTGTGACTGAGCGTTTTGATGTCTCATCAAGCATAGCAACATTGTTGGCAGGTTTAATAATCGCACAGTTAGAGTGTTGTACCATTATCTGTAACAAATTAATTATAAAGAGTTACAAACCTGGCGGCCGTTCAGTGTGGCCCCCATTAGACCGAAAGCCTTAATAATTGACGGTTGTTGAGTGAACTCCACATAAGCAGCTCGGTCAAAGTCGGTCCCCGCCATCCGTACACAGCGTACTTCGGCATGTTTGTTGAAGAACTCTAGTACCTGAAATCAAATGGACTTGAAAGAAAACGAATAAAATGGATGGATATTGCCAAATGAGAACTTATAATGCAAAGCTAACTGGTGAAAAACAGGATATGCATGACTAGCACTTAGGTAACCCTGTTAGTTACCTTTAGTCAGATGCGAACTCCTTGAAATCGCAGAATCAGGTACAGCATAGGAATATCCTATAAAAATTGTAAACCAAATTGGTTGTCTTAGCAGGATAGAGGACCCTGTTTGGCCTCACGCAGTGATAACTAATTAGTAAAAACAAAAAAGAAAAGACAAAAATGTACAGAAAAGCCACCGACCCTTTTGGAATCGCAGTCACAAGAGCATTATTTACGTATCGATTAGGTGTAGTGCTGTTGCGATGGCACACTGTCGATGACCAGTAGGGCTGGAAAACACGATACACAAAAAGCACAGAGGAATTGTTAGGTACTATTGGTAATTTATTCGAAGCATATACAAAAC